AATCAGGCACGTGACGTCACATACAGAAGTTATTTCATGATGGATTCAAAAACACACAGAACCATCGACGTACTGTCCCTTTAAGCTGCAGTGACTATTGCCAGTATGGCCTGTGAAGCTTGAACTTTGAAGTCATCAGCTTCCATGATCAATACATACTTCCTGGTACATTCTGTTATACACCAAGGGTGTTAATAAAGAACATCACAGTCAGCAATATTCCATCTATATCACAACAGTCTTTAAATCATCTGACCAACTCCGTGGTCCGATAGAGCGTCTGCCCAGAGTGAGTATTTGTTGTTACCCTGCCTGGTGCTTTGGCACTAAGGGCATAAAATAAGGACTGGTCGGCTCAGAGTCAGTAATATGTGTCTGTGTGGGATATTCATGTTAAAACTGTGTAATGGTATCTCAGTAAACTAGCGCTATAAAAACGGCATTAGTCAGACTAGCTAGCGTGCACACGCAAGCATGTAGCTATATAAGTTCAATGATCCTGAACACAACATTGACATACAATGTCACATGATGACCACTTGATGATCATGTCAGTCCACTCTTACATTGCATACACAGGGTGGCTGGGGTGCTAGGGAATGTTTGCTTGTTTGTTTGTTTGTTGTTTAACGCTGCACACAGCAATATTCCAGCTATATGACAGCGGTCTGTAAATAATCGTGTCTGGACCAGACAATCCAGTGATTGACATCATGCGCATCGTGCCACGCAATTGGGATCGTTGACATGCATCTACCAAGTCAGCAAGCCTGACCACCCGATCCCGTTAGTCGCCTCTTACGACAAGCATAGTCCCCTATTCTACCCCGGATCTTCACGGGTCGCTAGGGAATGTCATGTGTGTGATCTAAATCTACACATGTCACTTGTTTATCTTAAGCAATCTCATTAAGATCAGATCTTCTGTTACAGTATGATACCTCTCTGCATTAAGATCCAAGAACACCCCTATAGACGGTCGTGTCAGGTGAATCCTGAGCAACGATTGACTGCCAAATCAAAATGAAGTATACATGGGTTCTTGGGCCAATCAGATGTCATCTTTCTAAAATGATTCTGCTTTATTTCTTTAATGCCTCTATTTGGAAACGTATCAAATATCCACAACAATATAATGGCACAGCTATATATATTCCCCTGACTATCCTTGTTATCGAAGTACAGAAATTAGATATGCATGCATGAATGCTTTGATCACTTTTACCGAGAATACAGATGCTTTAACGCTCTCAGAAAACAGTGTTAACAACACTGAAGGAATTACAAATAATCTATCCTGATAAAATAAACGATATAAAGGAAGCCATCTTTTGATACATAAAAAGCTGGAAGCCCTACCATGCCTACAGTAACAAATACTATATCATATTTTACACAGCACATAGATTGGTGGAAATTAGGGGAGCTGACATCTTGACTGTATGGTAAAGTCACTTCACAAAAGTATTTACTGGAATGGTAAGAAAACCCTAATGATGCTGAAAAGTAAGCCTTGCTTGAGGCATTAAGCTGCTATAGACACATGATGGAGGCTACCTTTAACATGTTTAAGTTCCGTTTCAGCTCAAACATGTCTGCTGATTTGCTACTTGTCTCCAGCGCATGTCACATTTCACTGACCTGGTGTGTTTTGACTGTCTAAGCTTGCTTCTTTCAGAGTTTATGTAGGAGGGATTTGTAGCTATGTAAGAGTGACCAACAGATGCGAGATGGTACAAGCACAGCATCACATAGCTACAATAAACAGCTGGGTCAGCATAGGCAATAATAAAACTATGTCTTCAGTCATTCCTAAAAAATGTACCGGTAAGCTGAAGATGAAAATATACCAATGTTGTGGCGTCAATTCAGCAATACCCTCTTTCCCCACTTGCATATGGCTTATCATGTTAAGTTTTGACAGCACAAACAATGTTGTCACACACCATGAAGCTTGACACATGTGTATCAGTGATGCTGTTAGGATCACTGTTGGCACACCTTATACTGCTTTGTAACCCACGTACGTTTGAGTAGGCTAAAAAGTATGCATGTTAAATACGGAACAAAATGCACTCACTAACATTTATGATTATTTGTGTTCTCTATATCAGATGTCATTGATTTTATCTAACTATGCATATTTTACTGATCAAAGTTCATTATTTACAATATTAGCGCAGAGTAAAAGCCGGGCCTCGCACACAGTTTGACAAGGGAGAGAACTACATCGTATCGTGGTATAGGGAAAAGTTGTGTATGGAGGTCCAAATTGGACAAAAACAGGACATAATTCTACCAACCACTAAGTATGATGATGCCAGACTTTAGTGATTTGTCCAGACAAGTGCAAAGACAGCACTAGTAAAATTCTGAATGTGTTATCAGTAATAGGTATTCAATGCATATTAACCGAAAAGTAAGAGAAAAATATTTATTTAAATCAACAACAAAATATGAGAAATGAAGTTTTAAGAAAGTTTTTAAAAAAATTATATGACAATAATTTGTCAAAATATGGAAAAATGTTAAAAATTAACAATAGATAGATAAAAAGCACTCCTAGTATGCCCAAAGTATGTATTTATACTAGTGAAGTATGGCATTATGGCCCTTATGATCTCCTAATAGATTCTGGGCAGAGCGTGGGAAAAATGTGCGGACTTCGTAACTTTTGTTAACTTATTAGTCACCATGAATATGCAGATGATCTAGTTCAGGTCGATAGAGAAAGTTTACTTATGGAACTGTGGGTTATATCGCTGGCCATTGATAGATGGGGGTAAGGCAATGTTAAAAAAGATGCCAGAAGTAAGTATCATCGCATTAATAACTCCTTACTTACCATGCTTACAGAAGATGGAACATTCTGAAGAAATTGAAATTGTTTACGAAGAGAGCACTTACTGGTGATTGATTTGCATTAATAGACAGCCACTAAGGGGCATGTCGCGTGAGAACTCCCGGAAATCACAAATGCCGTGATACAATGAATGCCGCGGCACCACGGTGTCCGAGTATACTCAAAATTACCCAGGTACAGCAGTGATAGAAACTAACACTTTTAGTCCACTAGTTCATATAATGATAACATACAGAAAAATTGTTAAAAAAGACAAATTGTTACTAATAAAGGTCAAAATACAAAACAAACAGACGCCGGTTAAACATTAACAAAGTTGAAACAAAGGTCGAAAGTAATAATATCAATAGTCAAATGTTACGAAAAGACGTCATAAGAAAAGAAAAAACAATGTGTTTGAAAGAACGTCAGTGAGCACGAAAGGACGTATACAATAATAACATCAGTGAGCACGAAAGGACGTTTAAATAAAGTACGCCAGATGGCGCTGCAATTTGTAAAACATTCCGAGTTTAATCAGCTTGTTCCACCGTGTATATGATAACTGCATGCATGCCGAGGTGCACAATGTATTACGTCACTCCTCGTGCACTCGCCGTCTGACATCACACACACACGCACATATATATATGCCAATTTTTATTAACCCTAGAATCGTTTAAAATATTTTAGAAAATAAGCAATCACGAACGCCCAAGCAAACTTTCCGCCATATTGGATAGTGTTTACAAAGTCACATTCCACGTATGCCGGTTATGAGACGCCTATAACATCACATATATTTCACACACAGCTGCGATACATACATCCCTGAATTACGCATACATTTCGGCATCAACTTACAACTTGTCTTTGTCACAAATATAAACAAGCAAAATAAATCTGGTTTGAAAACAACCGCTGGTGTCATGGAGGAAAATCAATTTTCTTTATTTATGGCAAGTTATTTTTCCTAAAGAATGTGTAACGTTATACACATGCATACAAATCTATTTGATATTTATTTTGACGTTCAGATATTAGGCAGCATTTTGTTCACACACAGTTTCCGAAAAGCTGTTAAATAAAACAAATTCTCGCACAACATTCACTGTTCAGATGTTATGACAATATGTGCATCTGAAACAAGACTCGGCATCATAGCACACTCGTGTTGCACCGTGTATGAACAGCTAATTGGATCATTGTAGATTAATCTAAGTTTAGCGTTAAATGAATGTTTATTGAAGGTTGTATACATGTACTAATTAGTAATTAGGCAGGTGTCGGATTACACAGTATACTGTATTTATTAAAAGGCCCTTGGCCAGTGACGATGCTTAAACGCAACATGTATATACACAATGTGTACATTATACATTATGTATATATATGACGTCAGACGGTGAGTGCACGAGGAGTGACGTAATACATTGTGCACCTCGGCATGCATTCAGATATCATATACACAACGGAACAAGCCGATTAAACTCGGAATGTTTTACAAATTGCAGCGCCATCTGGCCTTCTTTATTTTCAATGTCCTTTCATGCTCACTGACGTTCTTTCGTACACATTGTTTTTTCTTTTCTTATGACGTCTTTTCGTAACATTTGACTATTAATATTGGGTACTTGACCTTTATTTCAACTTTGTATTTTTTTAACCGATGCCTCATTGTTTTATATTTTGACCTTTATCAGTAACATTTAGTTCTTTATTCGTAATATTTGACCTTTGTTAGGACTTTTGTCCTTTTTTTTAACTTTGTATTTTTTAACCGAATGGCCGCCCATAGAAAACATCACTTTCAGCATCGGTGATGGATGACAATCAGGTAATGACAGTTATGTTTAAATTTACAATTTCTGTTGAAGACAAATTAGAACTATCATGATCAAGAGATCGGGGTGACGATACTAAGACTGTATGTTTGGTATCTATATATACAGAGTGAGATTTGTATATAGTTATGTTTTCGTGGCTGTGAAACTAACGTTTTATTTTACCACCGTTCTCGTTTGTGTACAGGGTGTATTTGGGTCAGTAGAACTATATTATATGAAGTCAGTACGTGTAATCATATTCGAAATGATAAATCTTCAATCAAAATGCTATCATCTGGATCCAACGGAAAAACGTCTGAGGACTGACTTACCATGTATACTGAAGTCGTCAGTTTTCAACACTTCGTAAGTTTACTGTCAACGCCATGTAATAATCGCTAACCAACGCGAGATGTGCAATTGTTCTCAGTTCTTGATCATATGTTAGTCTAATGATTATTTATAGATTTTATCGTCTTGCATATTATGACAAAACTATAAGGAAAGCATTGTGAGAAAAGTAAGCCCCGATTAAAAGCTTACAAAACAAACAATTTGGTTAGAGGTTTTTACAGGTGCCCGGAAGTGAGCAAAGGGGAACAACTCTCTACAACAGTCGTCGCCAGCGTTACTAAGCAACTGGAAAACAGGAACCAGCATGCTGGCTGTTTTGTGCACGTCAGATTCGCACAGCATACGAAACATTACGTCTCCCGTATTGTAACCTCTGCAAAAGGATGGATGGTCTAGGCACTATTACGTGGTGGGGATTTAGTCCTGCCATCGACTTTCAGGATGCTGATGTTGGAGCGTTGATGGAGAAAACGTCGTTGCAAGATACAAATGATGTGGTAAATATTCTGTTGGTTGGAGCTGGAGACATAAGACATATATTGAAGACAATTGCTAACAGGAAGAGACACAAACACAAGAAAATAAACATGTTTGTATGCGAAGCTGCCTTAGAACTCTATGCCCGTGATATTCTACTTATGACTGTAGCCCTTGAAATGCAAGATAGAATGGGATTGCAAGAAAAGAGTGAGCTATTTCTAGAATTGTATGGAAACATACTTATAAGGGAACAAACAATGCAGTACGTCCAGAAAAAGGCCACAGAATTCATCAAGATGGTGACAGATGTAGACTATTTGGAAGAAAAACTTCCGGTGTTTGATTTATCACAGCTCAAGTTCAAAGAACGAGACTTTCTGGAGGGTATCTTCAAACTGTGGCAAAATACAAAGTTCACATTTGATGTATCTAAATGCTGGGATTTGCGAATGCGCCAAAACTTAAAGACACGATACGACACAAGAATGAATGTTTTTGACTGGGACTATCATATGGGACTCGCGGAAAGAGACGCCGACGTTGTGAACAAGTCCGAATATCAGACCTGGAGAAACACTGGAGTTGCTTTCGAGTTCAGAGAGGGAACATATGATACACCAAATAAGACCATGGCATCTGCTCGAGTGTTTGACCATCAGGGAGAAAAGCATGGGAGGATGGGATACTGGGGAGATATTATTGTCAGTCCTTACATTTCACTAGGAATTGAATCTGAAGAGCAATCTTTTTTCAAAAAGTGTAATAACTTGTACACAAAAACAGCTGAAGATGTTTCACAGTTCAATATGCAAGCCATGCTGCATGAACTTGCAACAGGTGAGAGGTACAAGCAACCAGTGAAGGAAGAACCCAAACAGTCATCCTCGGTGAAATTGACTGAAATTACAGAGGAAGAGGAAGAAGAAGAAAATAATGAGAAAGAAAAGATGGCATCATCATCACAACATGAACTTCCATACCAAGCCATCCCTGTTGATGATGTCAAGGTCACCTTCTTACCAATTGGCCCTGTGAAGGATCATGTTGCAGCCAAGAGCAAATACCAGAAATTCTTTGACGTTGTATATTTCTCAAATAGTATGGTCCACCAGCTTACTCCAGATGTCAGCAAAATATTTGCAAAACAATGTACAGTTATCTTGGAAACTGCTCAGTTTATGCTTGAAATTAAGAAGGAACAAACAGAAGAATTCCTGAAGAAAACAGCATCAATGGCCAAAACAGCAGGGTGTGAGCAAGTGGAGACAGTTGGCTGCAAGTCGAAGAGCTTCACGAGACATCTTTACAAAGGGGATGAGTGATAGAGATATTCTTCAGTGGTGATATTCTGTCCAGTTTAAAATGACCAAATGACTCAATCTGAATTCGGTTGCAAATCACAAATCCTCCACTGAATGGGAAACTTCGCCATTTTACAACATACATGTGATAGGATCATGAACTACTTTGTATTCTGACACCTAACAGAGAAGGGTGCATGTTCATTTGATTGGATGACACCTTGAAAACAGCTCAACACATGTCGTCATTGAGTATGAAAAGATATTTTACCAAAGTCTGTTGTTCTAATGACCCCAGTCACGTTTTTCAAAAGCAGGTTCCTAATGTGTGTCACAAGTAAACCAGACTATCAAGGATGAAGGCATGAATTGTTTTGAATGCAGAAGATAGTTGAAATACTCTGTTTGGATCTTGAAAGTTGGATGAATGAAAAACATTTCTGTTTTGACACCTTACCAGGTTTTCAGACTTTCTTGTTAATGATGTTCATGTAATTCACAAGGTGAATCTAAACAGTGTTCATTCTGTTGGTTTCTGTTTCCATAATGAACATACTGATTGACATGGTATGTCTGAAGTGTGTCATCATCTATCTTGTCGTGGAAGTAAGAGTGAGTGAGTTTGGTTTTACGCCGCTTTTAGCATTATTCTAGCAATATCATGGTGGGGGACACCAGAAATGGGCTTCACACATTGTACCCATGTCGGGAATCGAACCCGGGTCTTCGGCATGACGAGCAAATGCTTTTACCACTAGGCTACCCGACCGCCCCTCGTGGAAGTAAGAGTTCATGGTAGGTCAGATATGATTTTAACATATATCTATTCATCATGTTCATTAGTAGCAACCCATGCTTGCCGTAAATGGCGACTATAAATGTTTGTCATAAAAGGCTATTGAGGGAACAGGTGGTCAGGCTCGCTGACTTGGTTGATGCATGTCATCGTATTCCAATTGTGTGGATTGATGCTCATGATGTCATTCACTGGATTGTCTGGTCCAGTTTCGATTATTTACAGTCCGCCGTCATATAGCTTGAATATTGCTGAGTGCGGCGTTAAATAACAAACAAACATTAGTAGGCAGCATGACTGAAATGGTTGATTCTGTGATTGAAAATTGCACTTTATTCTCATTGACATTGCAATAATAGAATGTTTATGGTGCTGAATCATTGAGGTATTGAACATTGTTCCTGAAATCATTCACCGTTTTCATCTCCAACCATCTGGAAGGATACATTAAGCGTTTTGTTGGGTTAACTGTTTAAATGTTGAGATAATTAAAGATATACCAGTAAACTCGATTCTGTTTGTATTTATTTCTGTGTCAACATCACATGTATGGAGTTAAAAGAACGACTTGTGAATAGGTACATGTACCTGGTAGGATGAGATGGTCTTGTGACATAACCTTCCAGCAACTCACGGGCAGCTTGCATTGTATGTTCCCCAGGGAGCTGAGAATGAAAATCGAGTGCACACAGATCCATTGACCAGGTTAATCATGTGGGGCTTTACGGTGTTGACTCGGTGCATTATAAAGATGCAGTTTATAACTTATACCAGCCAGCCAGGAGTGGCTGCATCAGTAGTTTTGCATCTACTGGTATTTGCATGACTTCCCGACAGACTTGCATGGACAATCCGCTCTTTCAGGTTCTGTAAACAAGGGTAATGTATACAGGGAAAAACATACAGCACCAGCTGTACATCTGTCTGACAAGAACATGATTGCATATTGTTTTGAGTCTCTATTTGACGAAAGATGCTATTTTCATGGCTATTACTTATTTAGTCTCTATCATTGATAGGGTCTTTGATAATAAATAAATCGCAAGTGATTCCGTGGCATTTAATTGGCTAACGAAGCAAAGAGTTTTTGTGTTTGTTGCCATAAACTGAAACAAAGTTTGGACACGCCTACGTACAGACTGCTTTTTCCTGACTGGCTGGAAATAGAATTGGTGGGGCTTGTGAACAATGTCAGATTTCGTATTGTCAACAGTAATTTTTGTGCTTGTGGAGGAATAAATGTAAAAAAAGATGTCCACACCTTTATAAATCACACGCATATTCACAGTGTGCACACAGTTTTTTACTTTATGCCAGCCTCTACAAACGCAAAAAATATTTAAGTCCATTCTTAAATGGATCACTGACTAAAGGTGTGCAAAGTGTGGCGTAGAATTTATTTGTGTTTATTCAAACAATTGGTAACCCCAGTCCCAAACTGGTTTAACTAAATGACCAAATGTAAATACACAAGCTGAAGTACAGTGTTTGTAACATTCCAGTCAAAAAGTCTTCCACTGCAAAAGACATATTTCCTTGAGGATGACTGCATATTTTCACTACTACCAGAATCTGTTTGTTGTAAGTGAATGCAAAGACAAATAAACAACCGAGATGTTGCCCAGTAGAGTTAATCCCTAGTACCCCTTGATGTATGAGGGACCAGAATAGTTTTGTGTGGGTAATCCTTTGATGACTGTCTGATGTTGCAGTGACAATGTCATCCAACACTATTCGAAGATGCTTTTTGCTTTTTGAGTTAGTTAAGCTTACAGCCTTTTTTTCACCATCTTTCAGTTTCAGCAATTCAAGTTAGCTGATATGGTAGCAAAGGTGAGGTTATGGGGTTTAAGGTCGCGTCAAAGATTATTGCACTTATATAGCGACATGCATGTACATGTGTGTGGCTGCTTGTACTAGTACGGACTGATGCCGATTTATAGTGCTAGCCCACTGAGATACCATGCCGCAGTTCAACATGAATACCCCACTCAGACACAGTATACCGACTCCGAACTGACCAGTTCTTGTTTTAGCCCCTTAATGCTGAGCGCCAGGCAGGGTTAAAACAAGTACCATCTTTTAACATCTTTTAGTAAGTACGACGAGCCAGGGATCAAACCCCGGACCTTCTGCTCTCCAGGCGGACGCTCTACCACTAGACGACGGAGGTGGTCCTGTGGTAGCAAAGGCAAATGTGGTGAAGGTGGTGGACTCAGAAGCATGGTTACCTGACAACCCAAGGATGATCGAGCCAATTCCTGCTGTCGTGGCTATGGACTGCTGTCTTGTCTCCATTACACAATACATTATATATACCATATTCACCATAATAAGCACCCCAGGTGCTAAGAACATTGACAAATGGGGCACTTTTGAAAACCATACACAAGTTAAAAGTGTGTAGAGATCAAGCGTTTGAGAACAGACTAGCTAAAACATCCACATCAATAAAACTAAAACATTTTTGACAATAGTTACCAGGCAGTTACATACCCTATCTCTACCGCTGTGGTTACTGTGTAAAAACACCTGTAATATGCACAAGACGATGCAGCTTGAAAAGATTACTTACATATTGGTCTGGAAGATGGTCAGGAGGCTCTTATTCGAGTGAGGTGCTAAATACAGTGAACATGGCCTACAAAGTCATATTCTGTAACTGTGAAGACAGGGTTTAGTGACTGAGTGAGTTGGGTTTAACGCCGCTTTTAACAGTATTTCAGTCATATCGCGGCGTGTCAGCTTAATGTGGGAGGAACACCCGAAGTGATGCAGGTCTCCGCCGTTTACCACTTCGGTGAAACCCACGAGCACGGGTATGGTGCTGACAAACCTAGAAACATAATCGGGGTGAACCGGGATTCGAACCCACAATCATAGGTTTCTGGCGTGCCCAAAGGACGCAACTCTGCACAGCGAATCGCGGCGCCTTACCCGACTGGGCCACCCGTGCCCCCAGACTCGGTTGACATGGATCTTACTTTCACAACTCTTTCAGTGTGACATTTCAGTACAGGTGATTGTACCTTAATCAACCAGTGGGTAGGAATAAAGTAGCACCTTATGTAAATGTCACACAGAGGAGGAAGTTGAAATCTATACGTCAGCCCTCTTTTCACTGATACTACAGCTTCCAAATGCCAATTTAATATCTGCTGTAACTATCACAAATAAACCATGATGTATAAATGAACTTGAGCATGTCCATGACCTTGAATGGTGATTCAGTTTGAATGGAGTACATCCTGGTACATTCATTCCAAAATTGTGAACATTAGATTCTGTTTTGTTTGCTTGTTTGTTGTTCAATGCCACTCAGGAATGGTCCCGGTAAATGATGGTAGTCTGTAAATAATCGAGCCTGGACCAGACAATCCAGTGATTGCCATCATGAGCATCGATCTACGCAATTGGCATACAATGACACGTCAACCACATCAGCAAGTCTGACCGCCCGATCCTGTCAGTCGCCTCTTACGAAAGGCGTAGTCGCCTTTAATGGCAAGCATGGGTTGCTGAAGAGTAGACTCTGAATATGTACACCACTAATAGTGGATGTACTTGAAGACAAGGTGTTGTGAGTTACAAACTACAGATATAAACAAATTTCAACAGTCCCATGGAGTTTGTAATGACAAAGTTTTACCAGATAGACGTAGCCCATCAACAGGCTACTTACCCAGGGTTACACAGAATAACACAACCTGGAATGCAAAAACTGACTCGTGCCTCAACAACCAGTTCCTGATAATTACCAGGATTTTTATTGCTTGCCTCCCAAGTGGAAAAAAAATCAAAACATGCTTGAGGTGTCAGCATTTATTTGTAACTGACGAAAGACATGTACATGATAAAAAGTATACACTGATATTAGATCTTGTTGAATGCTACAACATCAACTGACTGTACAAAGTCTTCATGAGCTGTGATGGATTCCTCCAGGAAGTCTGTGCCAACCTGTAACAACATGTCACATGAATAGCGCAGCGAAAACATTCCAGACCATTGAAACATAAAAGCTGTACCGCTTCAAACTATACACTTTATACTTTTTGCAAAAAAAATTCACACAATCTTAGAAAAGAATGATCACTTCATTTTTTAACATGGCTATCAACAATGGCTATTTCAGTAACAGTAATTTTGTGTTGCAGTACATCGTGTTACATAGGTCTGTACTGCAATCTGTATTGATTTGTTATGTAGCTGAAGAAGTAAACAAATGAGATATTGTTAGCTGTGGAGATGTGCAAACGGTACCAACACTTACAATCTCATATAAATCAGATCTTAGTTCTCACTACCGCAAAAAAAAGATTTGAGGACATCCCATTACGGGTCACATCAGAACGACGTTCCATCTGACCAATCAGAGTGTCCCTTACCAAATCAGGAAAGTGACAGTCGTAATGTGTTTTCTAATCATGCAACCGTGAAAAGTTTAACACAGGGTATTCCAAACGACAGTTACGGGCTGTACAATTGAATGGGATAAACATTTGAATGGAAGTGATTTTTCATTGCACATGGGAAGTAGCGCCATATATTCTAGGCCATCTATTAGACATTCCAGTATGCTCTTTTGTTCAATTTTCACATCTTGAACTTTGTCAAAATATTTTTCAAAGTGTAGTTGCCAGTCTTAAACTGGTGCCATGGAGCTAGAGAAAACTGCTTTCTCATTGGCTAATGTCGACTTCTTGTTAGTCATTCAGTGGTTGTTCAAACTTCGCGAAAGGTCATTCTGACATGACCTGTAATGGCATGTCCGATCTTTGTGTAGAAGCAGCGAGATCTGATCTTAAGGAGATAGCAACACTTTGGGCTGCTATTACTGGAAATAATAACTGTGCATAACCAGGGCACGTGTGATGTAAGAGTGCTTGTTCCTCCTGCATATACTAATGGCTTAACCCCATCCAATATGACTTTGACCATATAATCACAGTTAACTTGTGAAGGGATAATACAGTGGTGCCTTGGTATCCTTGACTATCAAGCATGTTACATCTTCAATTTTATACCATAAATACCCGGGACCTATTTGCCATAGCTTCGTTTGGGGTAGTTTGCATGACAACAAAAAATTCATGACCAAGAGAAATTCTGTGTAAAGTGGGTGATACTAGAGATAGTGATGTCACTTGCAAAACAAGGTGAAATGGGGTTTAACATCGCGTTCAAGGTTATTTCACTCATACAGTGACATGCATGCAAGTGTGTGTGTGGCTGCTTGTACTAGTCCAGACGTGTCAAGTCTTATAGTGCGGGCCCACCAAGATACAATGCTGCAGTTTGATATGGATGCCCCACTCAGACACATAATACAGACTCCAAGCCGGCCAGTCCTTTTTTATCCCATTAATGCTGAGTGCCGGGTAGCAAGTACCACTTATAAAGGAACCAGGGAATTGAAACCAGACTTTCCTCCCTCAGGGCACATGCTCTATCCAAACGACGCTTTGGTGGAAAATGGGTCCTGGGTGTCATAAGATGGAGATATGCAGGATAATGAAGGAACAGGTATACCAGTCACGTACCTTGTCGTCTACCACTACACACATGATCTGTAGCTTGTTGATACCGTACCCAACCGGCACCAGTTTGGCTGGAACACAAACAGGAAATCACACAACATGCACAAAGTGACACTGAGGAAAACTTTCTAACATATCATAATCAAACTGTGGCCAAGGTGTTTTTTTGCAGTTCAATGCCGCACTCAACAATATTCCAGCTATATGACGGCGGTCTGTAAATCCAGTTATTGGCATCATGAGCATCGATCCACACAATTGGGATCATTGACATGCATCAACAAAGTCAGCGAGCCTGACCACCCCATCCCATCAGTCGACTCTTACGACAAGCATAGTTGCCTTTTACGGCAAGCATGGGTTGCTGAAGACCTGTTCTACCCCGAATCTTCACGGGTCTGGCTGCATCATGATTGTTGGGTTCACGATCCTGTCTACGCCATCTGTGGAACAGCATTCAAAATGAATGCAAGTGTTCCAGAATGGGTTAACACCGCTTTAAACAGTATTCTAGTCATATCACGGCACCTCAGCCTAATGTGGGAGGAAAGCCTGAAGTGATGCAGGGTGAACATAATCAAGGCGGACTAGGATTAGAACAGATGATCACTGCTTTCTTGCGCGCGAATTGTAGCCCCTAAGACAACTGGGCCACCCGTTCCCCAACAAGTGTTCCAGAGTTATGTCCCTTACACTGGGCCATGGACAGACATTCCCTTTCCTTCTAAAACACACATTTTTTAACAACACCTATACTCCACAATCCTCGTGTACTGTTGACTTAATTTTAACACCACAGATTGAAAGTTGCAAAAGAATAACATGCGGATCAATTTCCAAGTTACATCACAAAAGTAAATTAATCTGAGGGTATATTGTCATAAAATTAAGTAATGAAAATATTGTTATGAATTATAGTGAGTGATTTTGGTTTTATGCAACTTGCAGCTTCACACATTGTACCCATGAAGGGAATCGAACCCGTGTCTTTGGCATGATGAATGAACACTTTCACCACTAGGCTACCCCCCAGCCCAGTTTTGATTTATAACATACAAACTGTATAATGTTTATCAACTTCATGGAAAAGATAATACTGGTAAATACTTGAAAATCCCTTGCCCCATAATGGCTGTACACAAATGGTGGTGGCTACTCACAGCTGCCCCACTTGAGGCCGTCGGTGGACACCTCGCGAACCTTCTGCTCCAACTCTTTCATGTCTGTCTCGTCATCCCACGGCTTCACCTCCAGGATGATGTTGCTCTTGGCAATCAATGTTGGCTCTGTTATATCACACACATATTAGGACAGGACATAGCTAACTGTAACTCACCAGTCACCACACATTATTAACAACTGATGATTATTGAACCATCACAATTGAACACCAAATGATACATGATACATGATACATCTTCCCATGAATCGATTCACGTTTTTAGGCTGTTTCAGTTTTGAAAAAATAACCTTTACAAGTGTTTGCAATCACCCGGCCTGATAACTACTTACTAACTTAGGCTAGTGTTACCTCAACACCTACACTAAAACAAAAGCTAAATCTGATTGCATGGTTGTAACAGGAAAGTTGGGACCAGTCATGCAAGTTAAGCACATACTGGTTGATAGCAATGGCATCTTGTTTGACCATGCAAAAACGACACAAAATAGGTACAGCATACATATTGTATTGAGATAGGCATCAATGTGGGTAGGCATGTGTGACAACCCCACTACCACCACATGTGGATATAGCATTACTCTACATTTAGCAATATTTCTGCACTACCGTGAGTGAGTGAGTGAGTGAGTGAGTGAGTGAGTGAGTGAGTGAGTGAGTGAGTGAGTGAGTGAGTGAGTGAGTGAGTGAGTGAGTGAGTGAGTGAGTGAGTGAGTGAGTGAGTGAGTGAGTGAGTGAGTGAGTGAGTGAGTGAGTGAGTGAGTGAGTGAGTGTGTGCTTTTAGAAATGTCACGGTGGGGTACACCAGAAGAAGGCTTCACATATAGATTTATTTGTTTGTTTGTCATTCCAGTGATTGGCATCATGAGCATCGATACACGCAATTGGGATATGATGACATGCATCAACCGAGTCAGCGAGTCTGACAACCCAATCCTGTTAGTTACCTCTTACGACAAGCATAGTCACCTTTTGCGGGTCCTTCTCATATAGAACACTGTTACCATGAGACTACCCAACCACGCTCATCATCAACCAACACCATTTCCATTGAACCATCTGAGACGTGTCATCCATGCCTTACTTACAGTGAATTGTAACCATTGTAACATGTATTACAAGTTTTGACTGCAGTACAGTGTTCAGGAAGAACAAGTGGGTGGTTTTCACTAGGGCTGTTACGATTCACTCTGTATCTATTCATGAATTGATTTCGTTATTCGTAGTCACTAGAATCGAATATTTACGAACATGCAGTCATGTGCATCTACATACCCTGTATCTAAAAATATCCATAAAAACATATTATATGCAGAGATTTCTTTAAAGACAACACTCATATATATAATATGACAGTATTGTGGTCACCGGTCATTATCGTATTTGAGCAGATACTAGTACCTGAATAAATGCAGTATATAAATGTATAATATATTACAAATTATCCAACCATGTCAAATAATTTATGTTGTTATTTTTCACTAAATATAATCAATTATACATCAACTGCTGACTCGTTTTTGTATTTGTGAATAAATATTCGTATTCGTTACCCTATATTCGTGATATGAATTGTATTCGCCTCATAGTGTATTCGTTGCAGCCCTAGTTTTCACCAATGTCCTCTATAAAAACTTCAATGTCTGACAAGGTCAGACTGCCTGTCCACAGTGATAACAGTAGCACTCACATTAATCTCTCACTGATATTTCACTTTGCATTTACATCTATACGTTGTATTAGCATACTACAAATTTAAGGATGGATTGTTTGATTATTGTTTAAAGCAATCTTATAAAAATCAGATCTTTGTTTTCACTACAGATAAACACAGATCTGAGGACATCCAATAACAGGTCACATCAGAACAACCCTTCGCAAACTTTGACCTACCAATGAAATGACTAACATGAAGTCGACATTAGCCAATCAGAAAGCAGCTTGAGCTATACAGCGCTAGTTTCAAGGTGGCCACTTCCCTTCTGGACTACGCTTTGACAAAGTTCTCAATTCAAAATTTGAAAACTGAACAAAAGAACATTTTGGAATGACTAATAGACGGCCTAGATTGTATGACAGTACTTCCCACCTTCCATTCGAATGTTCATCACATTGAAGTGAGAGATAGTGAGTAGGTGGGTATAGTTTTACGCCGCTTTTAGCAATATTCCAGCAATATCACGGCGGGGAACACCAGAAATGGGCTTCACACTTTGTACCCAAGTGGGGAATCAAAAGGCTCCGCGATTCACTGTGCAGAGTTGCGTCCCTTGGACACGCCAGAAACCTATGATTGAGGGTTTGAATCCTGGTTCGCCCCGATTAGGTTTCTAGGTTTGTCAGCACCATACCCGTGCTCGTGGGTTTCACTGAAGTGGTAAACGTCTGAGACCTGCATCACCTCGGGCTTTCCTCCCACATTAAGCTGACACGCCACGATATAACTGGAATACTGTTAAAGGCGGCGTTAAAAACCCAACTCACTCACTCACTCTTCAGCATGACGAGCGAACGCTTTAACCACCAGACTACACCACTGCCCTGAAGCGGGAGATAGACAATGATTATGTTGGAATCAGTCATACAACCAGTTACTGTCGTTCAGAATACCTCGTGTTAACCTTCAAGGTTGCATCAAATTTGCATGATTAGAAAACACATTCCGACTGTCACTCCAACAAGTTGGATGAAAGGTTCTGCCGATACCCGTAATGGGAGGTCATCAGATCTTTGCTTAGCGACAGCAAGAACTAAGATCTGATTTCAATAAGATAGTTGCATAATGCCACATTCAGTAATCAAGACAAACCATGCAGTGGCCATGTCTTCAAGCTACGATCGATTAGCTGCATTCAGCTTCATAAATATAGAGAATAAATAGAATGTGAGGTACCGAATGGATGCTGAAGACCGTTAGTTGCTCAAGTTTGATATTTTTCTGAATGTCAACGGACCAAAAGTTACTAAAAAATTAATGGTTAAAATGCATAGTTCAAAATCCCTGGTATTCCATGACATCGGAGTCATACATGAGGTAGAAACTCAGTGGGCTGTGACAACACTCTCATCATTTCCTGGCAGGGTAGGCAAAAGCAACAAGGTGTTGAAATAACATCAGAAGCTACATTTCCTATAACTTACTTCCCTTTTCTATCACTATAAACATGTCAGTGAACTTACTGCTTGCTTTCTTTGCTTTGTAGGCTGCCACTCTCTCGGCCTTCAGTCTCTCAAGCTCTGCTGCCTGAAGACACACAACACAAACAGTCATCGTCTTGAAGAACCACATCATGCTACCATATTCCTCACACTATAGGCATCAACACATGAATAAACTATCTACCACACTGCTGTCTTGCACTATCTACCAGGCTGCTATCTTGCACTTTCTACCAGGCTGCTATCTTGGACTATCTACCAGGCTGCTGTCTAGCACTATCTACCAGGCTGCTCTCTACCAGACTGCTATCTTGCACTATCTACCAGGCTGCTGTCTTGCACTATCTACCAGGCAGCTATCTTGTACTATCTACCAGGCTGCTATCTTGGACTATCTACCAGGCTGCTATCTTGCACTTTCTACCAGGCTGCTATCTTGCACTATCTACCAGGCTGCTATCTTGCACTATCTACCAGGCTGCTATCTTGCACTATCTACCAGGCTGCTGTCTTGCACAAGATCATATCTAGACTAATATTTGTGTAGTTTGATCAAGAAATATTAAACATTCGCTGAGTTACACTCTGGAAACAATCCCTACCCTCATTTACACCTAAGTCCTATTTGTTGTAATGGAAAATGTACAAGTCACCAGTTCATGATTAGACTTATATCTGTGCATAGTTTCATCAAGAAATATTGAACGATCTTTGAGTATTGCTCCAGCAACAAAATGTGACGGCAGGGCAGAGGGACTGACAGCACCCATTCCTATATCCATCCTCATCCCACTCTGTGGCTACGGATAGTGTGTATCATCCACAAACCTCTTCCTCATCATCACTTCCAAACATATCATCATCATCCTCGTCGTCATCGTCGTCAGCAGGCTTGGATGGTGTTGCTGCTGCAGGTGCTGATGCTGATGCTGCTGGGACGCCGGATCCTCTCTCCAGCGCCGACACTCGGTTCTCCAGCTTCAGGACCATCGCGCGCAGCTCATCAGTAACTGGGGTAGTGGAGGAGAAACTAGCATTAAACACTACTCTCCATAACAATATACATATCTAATAATAATATTACACTCAGCAATATTCCATCGAGTTGACAGTTGTAAACAAGCAAATCTAGACACGACAACCCCGATTGATATTACGAGCGACAGTTCAAGCCGTCAGGGGATGATGACATGCAGTCATCCAAGTTACCAAGTCTGACTACCCAATCAGTCACCTCTTATGAGCCGCATAGGCTGCTGATACCACAGGGAAATCCACCTGTGGAGATCCATGAAGAATAGGTCTTCAGCAACCCATGCTTGCCTTAACAGGCGACTAACGGAATCAGGTGGTCAGACTCGCTGACTTGGTTAATGCATGTCATCGATCCCAATTGCGTGGATCGATGCTCATGACATCAATCACTGGATTGACTGGTCCAGACTTGATTATTTACAGACAGCCATCATATAGTTGGAATATTGTTGAGTGTGGCGTTAAACAACAAACAAACTACATATCCAAGTAAATTGTTGAGTGCGGCGTAAAACAACAAACAAACAAACACAGGGGTATCCAGACAGTAAGGTCAAAAAGTGATGTATGAGTGCATGAACATTATTTTAGGTTAGGTTTAGTTAATACTAAGTGATGCAGAATGTGTAACAATGATCGAATGTAAAAGGAATTGATGGTATATACCATCACCTGCGGTTAGTCGAACTGATACAAATGAAAATTTACCATCTGTGCAGAGCACCAGGACAGTTCCTTGTTAGAGTGTATTCCTACACTGACTAAGTGACTTAACATTCCTTTGATATGTATGAAATGTATACATAAAAACTTAATGAGAGGAATCAATCAAGATTTCTAAAAATAGTGGGTGCCATCACACTGAAGCTCACCTGGATATGTAATCAACAGCTGTAAATGTTAAAAATGACTGCCACTTAATGAAAGATGTCAGATTTACTATTAAATTTTGTCTGCATAAATACTGAGGCCAATAGTATAACAAATTACAATTCGAACAAAATATATCATTAGGAGAAATATAGATGCCAAAGGTCAGCTTCCTCAGTCTGGTGATTTCCGATAAGATGTTTACAGAGCCAAAAATGCACTGTGAGAATTTAAGGGCATTGCATTACATACTAAGAAGAAATGGCTGAGCAACAGCCATAAAAACGTTTTCCAATATATCTAATCATAACTGCCAGGGCAGCCAGATCGAAAATCAGATTTGAAGCTCTTGAACAAATTATGTCATCATCGGTTTGACCAAGCATGTGAAATCTCGTGATGGTCAAGTGGTTTCTGAGGAAATGCATGGAAGAGCATTTTGAAAGAATTTAAGGGCATGTTCCAAAGTGAAAAGATAAAATAAAGGTCAAAATTTTATTACCACCAAAAAACAGACCATACATGTTGAGGCCAACTACTAACTACACATACACCACATTTCATTACATTTTGAACAATACTGTTTGTTTGTTTGTTTGTTGTTTCACGCCGCACTCAACAATATTCAAGCTATATGACGGCGGTCTGTAAATAATCAAGTCTGGACTAGACAATCCAGTGATTAATGTCATGAGCATTGATCCACGCAATTGGGAACGATGACATGCATCAACCAAGTCAGCGAGCCTGACCACCCGATCATGTTAGTCGCCTTTTACGACAAGCATAGTCACCTTTTACAGCAAGCATGGGTTGCTGAAGACCTATTCTACCCCGGAATCTTCACGGGTTTGAACAATACCGACCAAGGAATGACCATAAATAGGTTTTCAATAAGGCTGATGGATTAGAACCTCTTGAACAAATTTAGGTGTCATCTTCCGAGGCATGTGAAGTTTCAACTTCATTGGTCCAGTGGTTTCCAAATGAGATGTTTATAGACGCCAATGCTGCCACCGGAGGTCAAACAAGCTGGCCATGACACAACATCACTCAACTTTCAGACAGGAGTATAAACAGTATGACAGCATGGCGTTCTACCTTTCCTGAGTTCCCTGTTTTCACGCTCTAGAGAGTCCATTTTTCCGGGCGGCACACTTCCACCTGCAATCTGAAAGAAGTGATCATGCAGTGAGACTCCATCACCAGCCTCAGCATTAAGTCTGGCATCCTGCAGGTAGAGGCAACCCTCAGCAGGTTACATATATTTCTTCCTTAAACATGCTACAGGTATTTTCTTACTCACAGAAGTGAACTGTTGCAGGTAAACAGATACACATAGAAGTTTCGTCTACGATATGGACATGATCATCTTAGCCGACTCCTTGTCACAAGTCAAATTCCTCACTGACCTTAGGGTAACTAACTGATCAAGTGCTGATTTAAAGCATCTATAAATCGACTGTAGGGAAATATAATTCTGATTTAATTTCCAAATCATTTATGAATAATTACACATAAATACACTCATCTGTAATATGTAACGCAATCGTTCCGTTATGGAACAAGACTTTGAAAATAATATATCTTTATAATAGTATTCTAATGTGTAATACATTTGTAACCGATTAATATTATTGACTGCCTACATATGTAACACACTCAGATCAAATCTATATAGCTGGTCAGCAGTAGGACAGGTAAGTCTCAGCTAGGCAGACTATTGGTTGACAGCACTGATCCAGGCAGTCCCAACACCATGACTCCTAATCCTCATTAGTCGGAGCTTAAGACAAGGATGAGGTAGGGGAGATATACAGGCCAGAATCCCGCTGGAGCCTGGTAATAACAGGCTGGTAAATACCCAGTGATGTTTTTGTCAGCTTTAACCCAATAAATATTACATAATCACTTCACAGTAATCAATATCTTTTTTTCCAAATTAATATTATTATATTACTGATGAAATTTATCATTACAAATTTCTTTATTTAAACATTATCTGTTTTGTAAAACAGGTTAAACGTGTAAGACATGTTATAGCATGTCACATGTTAAGAGCCTGATGAGATATATGGTAAATATTGTGACAGCAATCTGCAGCAAGCAGAGCAAACAGACATTAACATTGACCGTGTGTACTACAAGTAGAGTTATATTGTATAAAGGAAAAGGGAATGTGAATAAGTGCTATTCGCTGGTTACATTGGGGAAACCACACAGAAACCATAGCAACAAGAAATAATACCACAATACAACTCAAGTTTATCATATGCAGACCAATGTTGGAGCAAGGTGATTGAGAGAGGTAGGTTTTACTCTGCTTTTAGCAATATTCACGCAATATCATTAGAAATGGGCTTCAGATATTGTACACATCTGAGAACCAAACCAGGGGCTTGTGTGACAAGTGAACACTTTAACTGCTGGGCTACCCTACAACAAGGAAACCAGGATGACAAGTATGCATGATTATTCAGAGCCAACTCTCAGAATCCCCCGTGGAGAAACTGGTTCACCTGGGCTGTTGACATCTATGGCAGTAAACAAGTGAATCTGATCATGACTACAGGAGCTACCTCAGACCTGCATGGTGTATAGGTGTTGACAAAAACACTCCACCTTGTCAATCAACATGCAAACAAGTAAATCTGATTATGCCGTGCAAATTGCAAAAGTGTTCGTGAAAAGTTGTGTCTCAAGGATTTTTATTTGGGTACATACTGCACAGTTATATGACAAACTAGATTAACAAAAACATGCAAGCTGATTTCTATTTCAAAGAGCATTAGTATCAGAATAATTTGTGACAAAGACGTTGGCAGTATGAGTGACATGCTGTTGCTGCTGCTGCTGCTACACATATGCAGGTATTAGGGCTGTAAGCTGGTACATAATACATGCACTTCTTATTGACGATGCAAGCCAGGTACATGTGTACTGAGTTCAATGACATAGCTCAAGCAACACAAGTAAGAAACAAACTGACGAGAAAAAGATTGAATTGAATGTCAGAATTCTTAGCATACCAAGACAGCTCAAAATCTGGTTCACATAAACAATTTGTGGTTTCTACATCACTGGAATAACACATGCATGAAGCTAAAGTATCAACTGAGATTTCCAATATCGGTTTTACATTTCATGACTTCTATAGATTTTCCTCAGATAGGTCAATAAAAACATTTAAAATCAAATTTTAATATCAAGAAATAAAAGATGTGAAAATGTACTAAAAATATTCAACCACCAAGAAACAAACAACAGTTAATTTGCTGGGGGAGGGAATGGGTGTTAAGTAAAAATGATTTCACAATTTCATAAACCGAAACAAACCAACCAGGGGTGTGGGGGACACACATATACAACAGTTAACATCCAACCATTGCCAGACTGAAATTAAAACTAATCTAAAAGCTGCATTTTTACGAAAGGCAACAGGCATTAGAGAATAACAGTGCTAACAAAACTGATGTAATAGCCTTCATTAGGGCTTGTTGGGAAACAAAACAGGGCCCTGACCAAGGATATGGCATCATGTCTTGGCAGACTGCATTTACTCACAGGATTCTTGAGAAGTTTTGATATCTCTTGCCTGGCCTGAGCTATTTCATTTACAAGAGAGCTTCCCCCTTGCTTGCCCTATAAAACATAAGCATTATATAGACTGAATAAATAGGTATTTCAATGTGTCAAATGGGTGTGATTACAGCATCGTGTTACATTTGTATGAAATCATTAACGTAGCATAGGAGAAAAAAAATAAGAAAAGAAACTGACATAGATGATGTATGCAACTGTTGGTGACAATACGGTTAAATTGTTTACCATCATTACCATTTGTCATTCTTTTAAAACATTAATTCTGACGAAACAAATTTATCGAACTCATCTCAATTTATCTTTTCATCTTAGTTATCATTACAGATGGGAAAGCATGCACTTCTCGTCTTTAACTGGCTTTACATGTTACCATGGTAACTGTATGAGGTACGAGGTAAGACAGTTTACCTGTTGTACAGACCGTGTGCGCTTTAAAGAATATAAGACAAATAGAAACATATTAAATCGTGTAACACAGATTTTTGTTCCAAGATCAACCTAACAAATAACAATATGCAGTAATGCTGGCCATAAATACAGATAGAAAATAACACATGGAAACTGTCTGATCTTCGAAAAAATAACAGGGGGGTCTGTAGCTCACCTGGTCCAAACTGTAGCGTACGCTGAGGGAGAAGCATTGGATGCAAACACCTGTTGCTCCACATACCATATTTGACGTAATAAGCACCCCGCTCTAACAAGCTCCCACGGCGGTATTTGCTAATATATTGGCTAGTGAACAATCCCAATTAGCACCCCTTCCCATTGATCGATGTACAAAAGACTTATTTATTTGCGTAAAATACGCACTCGTGTGTTATATGCACCCTTAATTATGGCCAATTAAATTCTGGAAAAATATATCCGTCATATATAAACATTTCAGGCTGTCAGCATAAACCACGAAATTTATCTTTCAACTCTGTTTTTTTTAACCAAAATAATATTCTAATAAGAGGCCCCTATTTCTAATTTTGAGAGCGCCCTGGGCGCTTATTGCATCGAATACGGTACTATCATTGATAAAATTCTCTCCACATCACACATTTCATCATATGCCTTAATTTGAGAAAATGAATAAACACCGCAGTCAGCAATATTTCAGTTAGACCACAGCAACTTTGAATAACCAACAGACAACCCAGTGGTCGATTGCATAAGCAATGATACACTCTGTCAGGGTACAGCAACACACAGGGTAACCATGTGAATCTTGTTGTTTTTTGCAATATTGTATACAATGGCCTAGTGACATTCACTATTATTCATAAAACATTTCAGCCTTCATTATCATGGTTTCTGTAACAGGGACACAATCTGGCACTAGCCTTCTAGCCCAAGTTAGTCTGTCTACGTTAAAGGTGTCCTGAGAGCTATTAGAATTCAAACTTTTTAGGTGCGTTGGTCTCACCTGTTGTCAGTATTAAGGCTAATAAACATGCTAAATGCTTCAGCTTAATATGCATCCCATATAAAAACATGTAGTACTGTGTAGTAAATATGACATCTTGAAAAATACAAGCCTCCTCAAAATGGAGAACAGATAATACAGCCTGTCCACACAATGTAAGCGTTAACTACAATGTCAACACAACGAGCCACAAGAAGCCCAAATGGCCCTTCGGGTCAAATGAGGAAGAGACTGTTCCCTGATAAATATACCTGAACGGAAAGCTTATTCTCAAGTACCAGAACAAAAGTTTATATTTTCCATCAAAACTGGAAAAGCGAAGGGATTCCGTACATGGGAAACTATATCTAGGACAACCTTGCAGGACAACCGACCCAAGCAAACAACAATTCTGGATGACAGTCCATGACAAACTCCACTAGAATTGCTAGCATCTGTACTAATAGTCTACAAGGTCCAGGTACTACAAAATATCGTCCTGAATTATCCATTCATTAAAACTTCTTACTCTAATTAAAAGGGTGAGAGTGGAAAGGGAAGACACCTTAACATGGGGTAGTGAAACATTGGTGTAAGTATCATGAATACTGCATAATGTCTTAACGTTTACTTTTGTAGCAGAGATGTCAACACAGCATTGATGGAATTAGGAATATCTAGGATACGTTTTTAACAAAACAGTAATCACCATTAACACATAACTAAATGCCAGTATTATATGGTATTGAGAAAAATAAATCATATTTTAAATTGCATTTTTACCCAAACTCGTCAAAACGTAATTTCATTATTATTTTCAGAGAGATCCGTAACTAGTTCAAGCATTACCATGATTACTGTTTGTTACCAACTTTGTAACATTTCATTGGATCCTGTTGGAGTCGGTTGCAGCATATCGTAATGTTGGCATGTCTATTGTAGTTATGAATAACTGGGAAAACAATTATTTTTTCATCACGCTAATAAATACTGCAAAAACACAGACAAACTGCCAAGTATAAATACATCTACACACCAAACACTGGCCAACAGAAAAACTTAATCAGGTGGCAGATTTCTTCGGATGAATGGAAATGATAAAGGAAAGCCAAATATTACCACTGAACATTTCCACTGGTCATCTGTCCTGCCAATTCTCATCCAGGCATCATGTATTTGAGACTAAAAAGATTGTTCTCAGCTTTCCACGTTCACAAAAAACATGCCCTGTGTTGTGAGCTGCTCGTCAACAGGTTAATCAGATTAGACAGTTCAACACAAACACATACAACAAGATTATTGACATCAGCATTTCTAGTGAAGGTTTTAGTTGTCCTACAAAATCCTAAGGCCTACACGCATTCTGAGGTCTTGGACACAATAGAAGTAAAGGACTCTGGACATTTGAAATGAGGAGTCAACAATTGATAAGGGACCACTGACCATTGTGAAAAAGAGAACATGGTCTCAAGAAACTACAATTCCTGACTGGTGTTGTAGCTCACCTGGCCGGGGGTTGCGGTACCAGCTAGTATTTGCTGATAGTGTGCTTCTGCCTGCTCAAATTTCTGTTGGTGGAACCAAACAGACTCATTCATCAGAGGATTGGCCATTCTGTAAGACAGGTTTTCACAATGAGCCTTCTTATAATAGTCTACGAAGAAGGAAATACTGCAAAACATTAAACTGTCGGACATCAACCTTTAAGGGATCAGAGAAAGGATGGGCTTCAGATTATATATTTCTGTCTGGGGTCAAACAAAACATGCAAAACACACCAGTAGCAATCTATTCACAATCAATATAGCCCATATCTCTTTAAGAGATCATTTGTTTTAGTTCCTTTAGATGTGAGCTGATTATTCTTTAGGTAATCACTGCTATGATCACATTTCTCATGTTAACAGGGTTAGAAATTAATTTATAGTCACATTAGTCCACAAATATTATCTGCTTCCAAGTTGTCTACACTAGAAAATCTCATTTCTGAATTTACAAGGTCATACGTTGATTTCGAACCCTGCTGTTAATAAGTTTTATTCTTATTACATAGTTAATAATATTCATATATGTTTGAGGAAAGACAACCCAGTTAGGAAATACAAGATCAGAGGGTCTGTAATAAGTTACATGTATTTAGTTTATTCATTTGCCCAAATTGTTGCTGTTCACTTAATTGTGCATCTACCCTTGACACAGCATTCACAATAGTTAATATAGACAACCTTTTTTTACACACAAAACTATATTCTTTTGGGTGTATTGCCAAAACCATGTATGAAAAAGTTTAGAGAATATCGGCGATGCACTTCATTCATTACCTACCAAACTATAGATCAATTTGGTACCTTAACTTTGTTTTCAATATTATATTAAAGACAACTGAAAACAGTCATCCAATCAGATTACACTCATAACGGAGAGAAATCTTGTGCTTAGCTGGTAAAGGTGATGCCGCTTCAGAAGCTTTGGTGGCAAATTGGTCCAGGTTAATGAGATTGTCCAAAAAAAGGCTTAAAACACTTTTGCTGGAAATCTTCAACCTGATCAAACGAATGCATAAAACAGCACTACCCACAGAGACCCATACCAAAACCTCTTTGGTTGACTAATACCCAAATGTTAAATAACCTGTACCCACTTGAATCTAATGATCTGGATGACTCGTACCAAAAAAATCGAATCCATACACAATCAAAACATTAATCGGAATACAAACATGTTTTCAACTAACGCTTTGTTTGTATTGTGTTTCACTCACAGTGTCAAATGACACTGTGGTAATATCATATGTTTAACTAGAATGTTATGTTATTAGTAACTATTTGGTTGGTTGGGTTTGAAGTTTTACGCCGCTCTCAGCAATATTCCAGCTACATGTATATGACGGCGGTCTGTTAATAATCGAGTCTGGACCAGTCAATCCAGTGACTGATATCATGATAGTAACCAGTACTAGGACAATAACATGATTGTTTATGAAAATATGAAGTCGACTACGTTCATGTACAGATTGATATCATGATGGTAACCAGTATTAGGACAATACCATGATTGTTTATGAAAATATGAAGTCGCCTACGTTCATGTACAGATTCACAAGTTCCTGCCATTAGGATTCGGAACATGGGGAGTTTCAGTCCCACGTTTCATAATAGGTAAAGATGCGAGTGATAAGGCGGATAGAACCTCTCGGAAATCTATGAGAATCTGCCATCACGGTTTAGCTATCAACAAGTTACTTAGGCTAGAGGTTTGAGTGCCGATTTTACTGTTCGACAAGCCGGTACGGCTATCGTACTTCTTTTTTCATATTTATGTTGATTTATCAATTCTGAGTAGGTTTTCTCCAAAACTAAACAGTGCGTGTATCCATCCAATACTTGAAACAATTAAATTGTCCAAAAGCTTTATTCTTTGAGGCGATTTAAGGTCGAATACCTTACAAGTTCTTCTGAGCCGACAAGTGCTTCCGTGGGGAAATTGAAAAGGAAGTTACTTACACGTGCACGCAGACTCGGGGTGAATAACACATACTTAATGTAACAAATATATTAACTATATAAATTCTTTAGCCTAATCCTTAAATTCTAAGAAGACTTACATAAAAGTCACAAATTATGTTTTGATTTATTATATTTGCTGCGGTACTACAAGAAATACATTTCCTGTAAATATGGCGGACAAAGACAAATCTACAAGCATACTTCCCCTTTCGCGGGTTAAAACAATCATGAAAAGTTCACCAGATGTCTCAAGTATAAGTCAAGAGGCACTTTTCATTACGGGCAAGGCAACGGTGTGTATGGTTATTTGATTGGTAATAAAAAAAAAAACTTGTTCCTTAAAAATTTTCCCAGAGCATGGCCTCCAAATAATCGTAAAAAAACACACCGAGAACCTGCTATCTGTGACTGCCCCCATTTCACTGCTTAATGATCTGTAAGCAGACACAGGGGAACGTTAACGCTTTAATGCAGTGCTGCACACTACATAGCACTGGTATAAGGCATCTGTTGTACTGAGTAATCGTTATGGACCACTGCTCTCTTATCTTGCAAGGCTCCACTCTAGGTACCCGGATTAGAAATGTCCCCTACAATCTCTGCTTGTCTTACGTGGCAACTGAATGGAACTGGTGATCAGTTTTGTTTACATGGCTGATTGTGTGTCCACATTCTCCACGATCTAGCTGATTGTGTGTCTACCATGTTCCCTAACCCCCGTGAAGATTCGTGTTAGAATATGACTTCAGCAACACATGCTTGCCATAAGAGGCAACTACGCTAGTCGTAAGAGGTGACGAACAGGATCAGGTGGTCAAGCTCGCTGAGTTGGTTGATGCATGTCATTGTATCCCAATTACATGGATCAATGCTCATGACATCAATCACTGGATTGTCTGGTCCAGACTCAATTAGTTACAGACCACCGTGATATAACTGGAATATTGTTGAGTGTTGCTTTAAACAAACAAACAAAGAAAACTTTCCCAGAGGTCTGGAGGATTGTGTGTCCATGTTCCCGAGGTCATAGAATGTTGCTCATAGTATCAACATTATCAAACACTGGTTTGACTGGCCACACTCCCATTACGTACTGGCTGCTGGGATCAATAAGACAAAGCTAGAAATTTGATTAAGGGGCCACATTTCTTTTTGAATTCAGTCAATGTTCCTTTTCTTTTGGTCACTATCTAATTAACTTTTTTAGATGTACAGTTTAGCATGTTTAGTTCTAATTTACAGAAGTAAAGTATTAAAATCACTCAATGAGTCAAGACAGTAATATTCTTCAGTACTCAGATGTGTGATCCTAATTAATTCAATCACCATGGTTGTACTATCCACCTGTAATTATGTGGACAGTCACTAGTTGAGCTTACTAGACTAAGCAGAATTTTACTAGACTCGGGCTTTTGGCTATTGTCCCCGACTGATAAGATGAATGCATAGTTTGTACTCTGAAGATGTACACTGGTTTATAATGTTTGCAGGTCCCTATTTTAATTTTCTTAATGTTCTGTAAAGTGCAAATTGGTTTACATAGTGTAAGGTATATAAACATGCCAAAAAGAACTTGGCAAAATTTGTATTGTTAACATTGAGACAGAATGTTTTGGATCACCTGCCAGTGACATGTAACACTGTTTTACCTCTGGTATATCGGGGTATATTGTTTGTTTTAGTACGTAGTGGACCTCTATTTTGTTGTGGCATTCAGGTAACCGAGATGAATCAACCTTTATAATGTTTCTATGGTTACAGGAACTGTTCATCCAGGCCCTGGCAAGATTCTCCTTGGAACAGAGCAAGGATCAGAGCTTAGTTGATTACAAAGACTTAGCAGAAATTGTCAACACCGAAGAAACATTGCAGTTCTTACAAGGTAGAACACAATCCCAGATAATGATTGGCCCAGTAATGGTTTCTAAGTCTGAAGAAACTGTAGTCATGGTAACTGTTTGAGGGTGGGAATCCCAGATAACGATTTGCCCAGCAATGATTTCTAGGTCTGTGGAAACCATAGTCATGGTGACTGTTGAGGGTAGGAATCCCAGATTTGATTTGCACTGTCATGGTCTGATGGTGACTGGTTGTGCTATGATATGCCTGAAATACAGCTTAAAACAGCAGATCACCTCACATATTTGACTCATGATGATTTATTTGAAAATTATTACATGTAAAACTCTGATTTTTCTGGACTTTTATGAGCTAGGCTTAACCAAAAGACATTTTACTAGATCCAGACTTCTGACTAGCTGCATGGCTGCAGATTGTTAATGTAACACAAAGGTCTCTTCATGTACCTCTGTATGCTTCAGGGCAGCAATAGTCAAATATACTACAGTAATCATTTACGATCTCAGAACATTTTGTACAAGGTGTATATCAGCCTAAACCTCTAACTTGTTTGTATACAGACATCATCCCACGGAAGATAAAGGCAAAAGAGTTTTTCCAAATGATGAAGAATGGAGATAGTGAAGTGGATACATGATGGTCCGTTTAGTCAGAACAGAGACATTCTTGGTACGTTCTGGGACAGGAGCTGAAGGAACTAGCGAGGCCATGGTCAGCCAACAGATTTGTAATACCTCCTACATTCAGATTCCAGCTTGTTGGAAGTATCCAGTAACCATGGCATCTGGATCATGACGGATGGAGATGACTACATGTCCTTTTTGCTCATTATAGAGAACCCTAGTAGTGCCATGTTATGGGATTCTGCTACAGCATTCAGTCCATGTCCAGCAGCAGCAGGAGCAGCTTGTGGCTCACTGACAGTGACCAAGGTTCCTTGTATGCATTCAGTGGACAATAGTGTCACATCGGCAAGATCTCAGCTCTATTATTATTCTGTGGATAACTATTTTCTCCAGCCTGCAACCAATCCGAGAAATGTCAAGACCGGAGGTGTTCTATGAGATGATAGGTGGAAGTACTACTTAAGATCATGGCACAAGAAGATTGAAAGATGTCCTGCTTCATAATGGTCGGTGATAACACCACCCGAACATGAACAGCATAAGGTGTGATCACAGAGCTTTGCCCTTTCTTTCAAACCCTGAATGTACAGGTAACCTGAATGATGAGTTATTGTTCTGTGTATATTTGAGAATAATTGTGTACTTAGGTGTAGAGTAGACCTTCTGAGAATAAATCACCTACAATACTTGGATTTCTTGATTTTCATTCTATTGATTGGGGGTGTTGGTTAGTGGTCAAAGCACTCTCACTCACTCACTCACTCACTCAACATAGTCTCAAGACTTCTTGTCCAACGTGGGTCAGTTGAACATGAATGCTAATTTTCACAAATGTTTTGGTGAGTATCATGTTATTCAGTAAGGCTGTCATGATAACACTGAGACATCACTGAATAATACCCATGTATCAATTCATGCATGAATTCTGTATCAATTTTCAGAAAGGAATGTTTACAGAGTGTGCAATAACCCGGCCTGATATCTACTGGGTCTTACCTAGTGTTACCTCATCAGAATGAACCTAAATTAACCAGAAGGCACTAAGTTGAGCACAAACTGGATGACCTCTTGTTAAGCAGGCCACATTCGCAATGCAAGTTAACAATCTCAGATGCAACCATGCAAGTTATGCACAACCTCTTGTAGCTGGGACACATGAACATAGAGGGTTCAGTGCTGAAATGGCACAAATCTATCATGCCTCAAGTACTGTGACAGGTTTGTTTATTTGTTTGTTATTTAACGCCGCACTCAGCAATATTCCAGCTATATGACGGCAGTCTGTAAGTAATCAAGTCTGGGCCACACAATCTAGTGACTGACATCATGAGCATCGATCCATGCAATTGGGATACAATGACATGCATCAACCAAGTCAGGGAGCCTGAGACCAGTGAAGATTCCGGGGTAGAATAGGTCTTCAGCAACCCATACTTGCCGTAAAAGGCGACTATGCTTGTAAAAGGCGACTAACGGGATCGGGTGGTCAGGCTCGCTGACTTGGTTGATACATGTCATCGATCCCAAATGCGTGGATCGATGCTCATGATGTCAATCACTTCATTGTCTGGTCCAGACTCGATTATTTACAGACCGCCGTCATATAGCTGGAATATTGCTGAGTGCGGCGTTAAACAACAAACAAACAGAGAGCCTGACCACCCAAACCTGTTAGTCGTCTCTTACGACAAGCATAGTCGCCTTTCACGTCAAGCATGGGTTGCTGAAGACCTATTGTAGCCCGGATCTTCACGGGTCCTGTGACATGTATCAGTATAGGAGGCAAGAGTGTTATGACATCCCAAATGCCAGGTACAATGTATTGGCAGCAGGTAGGTTCTTGTGTTTCAGTAGAATATGATGAAAATTGTGGTTAACATCTGAAATAAACACAAGAATCGGACTATAGAAAGTGTATTTTATTTAGTCAATAACACAGCTGTAATTGTTGCAACTACCAGAATGTATAATTATGTACATACAGGTACATGTTTGTATACACTTGGCAAGTATTGTTTATTAATGTCCAGCATACATGAGTTCTCTACGGACACTGGGCACCTGGGCTTGGCTGTTCACCCATCCATGTTAGGCTGTGTTTCTCATCCCCGTGCTGATCTGTGTGACTGGCGAGCAAACGTAAAATACCGTATTCGACGTAATAATCGCCCCGCTCTAATAAGCGCGTACAGCGATATTTGGTCATATATTGGCTAGTGAACAATCCCAATTAGCACCCCTTCCGATTGATCGATGTACAAAAGACTTATTTATTCTCGTATAATACGCACTCATGTGTTGTATGCAGCCTTTATTATGGGCAATTAAATTCTGGAAAAATATATCTGTCATATATACATATTTCAGGCTGTCAGCATAAACCACAAAATTTATGTTTCAACTCTGTTTTTTCACCAAAATAATATTCTAATAGGAGCCCCCTATTTCTAATTTTGAGACTGCCCAGGGCGCTTATTACATCGAATACAGTATATAAATTGCCTTCAGTTGAGAATATGAAGGACATATTGTTTGATATGTGCAAAAGTCTTCACCTGGTTATAAAAGGTATCATTTTCGAAAAGCCCTCCCAAACTCGCAACATATTTATTGTGCTGTATTCAAAGTACAACACTATTGAGAGCTTTAATTACAGACAAAAATGCAGCTTTATTTCAATAAAATACAGCGCAAATTGTTTTAAGAAATGGGAAATGTCTTATTTTGTATCCGAGCAGGATGATTTCAAGAATGGGTGGATATAGAACATTAGGACTGACAGAAGATGAGAAACACACCGACTACGAAAGTCTAAAGGCTAAAACGATACACAGTAAGATATATAGCCTAATACTTCACAATGCACTATTTCACGATGTGATGTCTTGTGTTTGTCAGGACACCACCAAAACAGGATGAGACTGAACAGACTATATATGAATGTCAAACACTATTAGCTTTCAGACCATCAAATATTCAAACAAGATAAATAATTTGTAAAGAGTAGCCTACATATGGATAGGATATTGTTCAGATTAATGCAGGTGTATCGTTTCAGCCTCACTGGTTGTCTGTGTACAAGGGAGTAGTTCAGAGGAAGTGACACTTGGAGGTAAAACTGTATTGCATATCATCAGAATATCACAGACTAGAGAGTCTTGGATAGGTTCAAAATGGAGATAAGTATGAAAGTCTCCATCTTCACGAGGCAAGGGGGTTAACTGACTGTAAAAGTCCATTTTCCACCCTTGCCGAACTAGGCTGGAATTTCTGGGCTCAATCGTGTTGCCACCAGTGGCTATTACGAGTTATGATATAATGTATATACAATGTTCCTCAGTCAGTCAGTCAGGATAATGTATATACAATGTTCCTCAGTCAGTCAGTCAGGATAATGTATATACAATGTTCCTCAGTCAGTCAGGATAATGTATATACAATGTTCCTCTGTCAGTCAGGATAATGTATATACAATGTTCCTCAGTCAGTCAGGATAATGTATATACAATGTTCCTCTGTCAGTCAGGATAATGTTTATACAATGTTCCTCAGTCAGTCAGTGATGATGGTTGGTTGGTTGGTTGGTTTGTTGTTTAACACCACACACAGCAATATCCCAGCTGTATGACGGCGTCTGTAATTAATCAAGTCTGGACCAGACAATTCAGTGAATAATATAATGAGCATTGATCCACGCAATTGGGATCAATGACATGCATCAACAAGCCTGACCATCTGATCCCATTAGTCGCCTCTTGTGACAAGCATAGTCGCCTTTTACGGCAAGCTTGGGTTGCTGAAGACCTATTCTAACACGGGTCCGAGAAAGAATGAAGATGACAAAATTGATTTTGTGATCCAGCTGAAAATACCCTGACTGAAATAATCCTCTCAATGTTGGAAAGTCCTAATGTAAGATCTGATGCCCAACATTTGTCTGGAATATTGCTCTGTAATTCAACATTCTCTCAGGCACTGTGCTTGTGTCCAGCAGGGGTTGGGAAGGAGCGAATCTCGCTCAAGTGTCATTTGATATAAAACATAACAGAACAGGTTATGCCTCAGAGTTTTAAATTTTAATTTACGTTTTATATCAAAAGACACTATGGAAAAATCCTATTTATCATCAAAAACATTCTCCCAATTTTATTTTAGTAATAACCAGTGTCATGAGTGTAACAAGAACACCTAACCAGTGGCAGATGCATTGGTGATGTCATTTGATAGTGTTGTCATGGTAACCGATGATGTCACAATGGTCTGCTGTTCCATCTGATATGGCTGATATCTCCTGTGGAAGATTATTTGTGGATGATAAATAATATATAGTTTGACATATCATTACATCATGAAAATAAAACAAAAGAACATATGACCAACAGGCATTTGTAATATAAGTTATTAGTTTGTTAAACTTGTTCAGTTATTTGTAATGGACTTATGATTGTGGCTCATGCATCTTGTCCTATAAAACTGAAAATAAAAATTACCTAACTCACCAAGTTAAGAAACAAAAGTGATGGTAGACAATGTCTGTATATATGTCTGTCATTAATTGACGATAAAACAGAGACTCAAATCACAGCATTTTTCAAATTGAGTAGGCATGAAAATAACAAATAAACCCAATAGGGTCTCATAAAAATGTTTTCACCAGGGGTTAGATGGGTGGTACGGTCATTGCTGTGTAGTAGTTGTAGATTTGTCATCTAGTTGTAACTCAAACTGACTGGTTTCTCAAAACAACCACTTGGGTAACATATTATGAGTCTCCTCAGCTGAAATACTGAGAACAGTTTAATTCAGTGTTAGAAATTGGCACTAGAAGTGTAGTCCTTGGAAAACCCAATAGTTAAGGTATCATAAGGACAAGTAGACATTTGCCATTTTAAGGGTTTTGCTATATGTTATTGTGAGGACTAGTGGACTAAAAATGTTGGTTTCTACCTCTGTTATTTGTTTGGAACATATCCCCCATGTGCAGCAAAGAATGTTTGATATATCTTGAAAATTCAAAATGGCCGCCACACTTGCAATGTGCATTGAGAGGGTTGTCCTCAGCACAGAGTTACTGGACATTGTTCTCAACATGTTGACAGTAAATCTGTTACAGTAGAGTGAGTGAGTGAGTTGGGTTTAACGCCGTTTTTAACAGTATTCCAGTTATATCATGGTGTGTCAGCTTAATGTGGGAGGAAAGCCCGAAGTGATGCAGGTCTCTGTTACAGTAGAATCTATGATTGAATGTTTGTATAGCAGCAATCACAACTGAATCTGAAACGCACCAAAGTAGTTTTTCAGCATACATTAATTTGATGCCGATAACAAAAGTGCATCAAGCCCTCTGCTCGAATGTACTTCTTAGTGTGTAGAGTGAACTGTCTCAGGATTCCCAGCCAGATAGACTGTTGACAGATTGGAACTCAGAACGTCATGATGTTGGAGTGGTGCATGGCTTGATGAGGGAAGAAGTCATCATCGTCCTCCATCAACTGGGCCATCAGGTCTTCCTCCTCCTTGTTGTATTGGGGGAGCACCATCGGTCTGCAACAGAACACCACCCATCTACAACAAGGGTCGGACCATATGACCATCCAGAAAAGATGGCTGAACGTTTTAAAACAGTGACTAAAACAATAACTGGCCTCTTACGAACATCCCAGTAATCCACTACCCGTCGCCCCCTTGTCCCAAGTAATGGATTTCGTTGCTATACACTAACTATTTTTTTAGGACCAACGGCATTTGAGCTGGAAGGTTAGGTGAGTCATAAAATATACATGTGTTATTTTTGTTATTGTTTATTTGTTTAACGCCACACTCAGCACGATTTTAGCTATATGACGGCGGTGTGTAAATAATCGAGTCTGGACCAGACAATCCAGTGATTGACATCGTGAGTATCGATCCACGGAATTGGGATACGATGACACGCATCAACCAAGTCAGTGAGCCTGACCACCCGATCCCGTTAGTCGCCTCTTACGACAATCATAGTCACCCTTTAGGGCAAGCATGGGTTGCTGAAGACCTATTCTACCCCGGATCTTCATGGGTTTAAGCCGCAAATGGACGAAAATTTAAAAACTATGTAACTAAAACTGTGAATTCTTAAAAGGTTCATATTCAACGGTACCACAGTAAATTGTATGTTGGTCATATATGAACATGGCTTTCAACGTTTTATTTGACTGTCATTAACGTATTAACATTGACAATATATCACCCACGGTGTCGTCTGCACTCGTGTATTATTCAGAACCGGAGAGAATCGTTTCTGCAATCATTTAATTGAAGTCCTGCAACGGTCGACGAGTTCTAGCAATGTACATTAGTTTTAGCCATTAGTTCAACCGTCGTGTCGCCGTGGCGATGTACATTATTGAAAACGTTTAATCGATGAATAGGATATGGTATAACCAAGGTATCACACGCCAGGATCGGTTAGTACAATACAATTTCTGATTCACGCATGTAAATAAAGCGACTAAACCCTTTCCATTTCCAATATAAATCTCTGCATACAGCAGAATCGATTATACGATTCCGACTAAACACACGTTCGGTTGACACCCGACTGTCGAGGGAAAATGTAGTTTGTTAACACGTATCAGATTCGTTATTATGAGTGAGTGAGTTTGAAGCTGCTTTAAACAGTTTTTCAGTTACAGTACGACGTGCAGCTTGAAAGCCCGAAGTGATGAAGGTCCTACACGTTTATCGCTTTGGTTTGTTTGTTTATTTGTTGTTTAACGCCGCACGCAGCAATATTCAAGCTATATGACGACGGTCTGTAAATAATCGAGTCTGGACCAGACAATCCAGGGATTGGTATCATGAGCATGAATCCACGGAATTCGGATACGATGACATGCATCAACCAAGTCAGTGAGCCTGACCACCCGATCCCGTTAGTCGCCTCTTACGACAAGCACAGTCGCCGGTTACGACAAGCACAGTCGCCTGTTACGGCAAGCATGGGTTGCTGAAGACCTATTCTACCCCGGATCTTCTTTACCGCTTTGGTAAATCACACGGACACGCGTATGGTGCTGACAAACCTAGAAACATAATCAAAGGAATCGGGGATTCAAAAACTATTTATGGCACACCTAAGGGAGAATTGCAGCGCCTTTAGATTACTGGCCACTCGTGCCCGTCCAAGTTCATACTACCTTTACACTGGAAGTGTATACGTGAACAGCAAAACGCTTAAGTCATGGTAAGTGTCATCAGTGTATAAATACGCACGTGGGCTTTTGGCTAACGGTCGTCTGTTGTTCCTCTGGCTCACTGGACCGGAGATATCGAGGCGTCTCAAACTCTGAAATAAAACACGACAAGTTACACATAACACATGTCTCGGACGCACTATGATTAAAATATATTAATTATTTTATATCAACTTAGAGATAACATATTACAGTGAATCCCCGTTAATCTGGGCGAGTGTTCCTGGTGAATTCGTCCGGATAAGAAACTGTCCGGATAAACTACTAGACTTGACTAATAAGACTAGGAGTTCTACTGTCTAGACGATGCCTGCCATTTCTACGACATTTTGTATTCTGCCTACAGCGACGCCCCATGTTAATAATGATTATCCCTCTTTAAGATCCGGCTAGGTTCTAAATCTTTCTTCAGCACCTCATGCTTGTCGTAAGAGGCGACTAACCATCTTCCCGAGGCAAGAGAGTTAACTGACTTTTAAAGTCCAGTTTCCACCCTTGCCGAACTAGGCTGGAATTACTGGGCTCGATCGTAGCGCCACCAGTGGCTATTACCAATTATGTCCCTTCTAAGCCTCTCCTAAGGACCAATCAGATTCCACCTCTCGTATCACTTGCGTTTGCTTCACACAAAATGGTTGCGCCCGGTCAGGACGATCTGATCGATAATCAATATCTATATTGTGATAAAACGGGTCTTACATCGCGAAATGCATCAAATCACGTGAGCACCTTGATTAAAAACATGAGAAGATTTTGAAAATATCTGCTGACAACGAGTTGGTGGTGCACATGCTTTGCAAATCCTGCAATCGACCGAAATCTGCACGACAGTTTACGAACCGGATTTCAATTTCGGTGCGCGATTTTGATTGGACTATGCATAGACTCGTTAGTCCAGCCAAAATGTAACTCCATAATACCAGCCTAGTTCGACAAGGGTGGAAACTGGACTTTTATAGTCAGTTAACTCTCTTGCCTCGGGAAGATGGCGACTAAAGGGATCGGGTGAACAGGCTCGCTGACTTGGTTAATGCATATCCCATTTCTGTGGATCGATGCTGTTGATGTGAGTCGCTGGATTGACTGTTCCAGTCTCGATTATTTACAGACCCCGTCATATGGCTGAACAAACAACTAACAAACAAACAAATTATTCTTAATGTCAGTTTCACGACCATGTGGTCGAGGCTTTGTGGTTCTGCTGAGAGATGCTAGTTAATCCACTGAAAAGTAATCATCTACACAGGTGTATAGCTGTCACCCCGTGGGGATTCAGGATGAGAATTGGTCCACAGCAATCGAGCATTCAGACTAGGTGACTTTGTTGATTGCGTATCATCGTACCCCAACAACGTGGATGATGATATCAGTCACAGGATCGTCTGGTCCAGACTCGACTATTTACAGGCCGTTGTCACATGGGTGGAACACTGCTGAGTGTGGCATTAAAGAAACAAACAGCTGTGTTTAACTTTCGTCGGATCACTAATGGCTTATCTATTTTTTAAACTTACCGTCTTGAGTGGAGAAAATGTCCTTTTCTCGAACAGGCTGTAACAAAATGAGAAGTTGATTACTATAGGAGTTCTTGCATGTCTCACTTATAAATACAAAACATTCACCATTTGCTACTGGATGGAATAAGCTTGGATGATCATGATGCGACGGAACCTGTCTAAATCAGCGCATGTTGTTTGTGTGATAGTCATATAAATAGCGGTGATAGCGACCAGCAACGGCAGAAGCAACCTACCTTTCCCTGGTTCGCAGCCCGGAACTTGGAGGCATCAAACCCCTTGGTTGCCTGAAATGAATCAAACATGGCGTATCCTTTCAACTGTAAAGGCTCAACTAACATTCAGCAGCTGACAGGATGTTGTGTAGTGAGTGAGTGAGTATGGTTTTACGCCGCTTTTAGCAATATTCCAGCAATATCACGGCGGGGGTGTGTAGTGAATGCAACGTGAAGACAACAGTGTCGAATGTTAGGTTATGTGGTCGAGCCCAAATATGAAGATGCCACGTGATATTGTTAAAGTGCAATGTGAAGATGTCACGTGGTCTTGTGAAAGTGCAATGTGAAGATGTCACGTGGTCTTGTGAAAGTGCAATGTGTAGAAGTCACGTGGTCTTGTGAAAATGCAATGTGGAGATGCCACGTGGTCTTGTGAAAGTGCAATGTGAAGAAGTCACGTGGTCTTGTGAAAGTTCAATGTGGAGATGCTACGTGAGAGTGAGTGAGTATGTTTTTACCCCGCTTTTAGCAATATTCCTGCGAGAAATTAATGGGGGGACACTAGAAATCGGCTTCACACACTCTACCCTTGTGTTGATTCGAACCCAAGTCTTTGGCGTGACGAGGGAACGCTGTAGCCATTAGGCTACCCCACCACCCGACAGTCCATTTCCCCGCACACAACGACCAATCTCACTTCCAGCGTACAGGGATATACAACAGTACATGCCGTCTGTGTCGAAGGATAATATTTCCTCTGTATTGCAGACATATTGAATTTTTGACTCTGCATTGCTATAAAATATTGAATCATGGTACTGTATATTGTTTGTATGGTGAGACTTGTCAACGGAATGCAATGTATTCTGTTTCGTTGAGTTCACCTAGTGTATCATGGTATGTACTTAGGTGGCAACACGACCACGCGTTCACAAATCTTAATCAAGTACACAGCACAAAGCGTAGCGCTGTATTATTTGCATTTAGATTACCTGAACCGAGTTGGGGGAACGCGCTTTGGTGAAAGAAACGTTTTAAGTAATCGTAACGTCGCAAACTCGCCTAGAATAAACAATATGTTTTGAAAGCAGTCTCAGTATGTTGTTGGTTTTTATCACTCAATGTCAAAAACTGAAGGAGTCATGAGTTCAAAGTAACAATGCACAGTGTGGTGTATATATATAGTCTATGTATAGTCCCTATACAAAATATTGCCAACTTCAACTGTCTTTAGACAAGAAATCAAAACCAATATGTTTAAATTTTTAGAAAAACGGTAATCTGGCACTGGCACCAATTGATTTTTACATTTTAAAACGGTATTAATAACTGATCCACGTATCGATTATTTGAATAGATTTATGTAAACATAGTTTCGCCCTTATACGTGTTTCTTAATTAGCAACGCGCTCTACGTGACTCAGCACCCGAGGTGAAAACAGCGCCCACTCCCGTAGATCTAGGTGAGAAAACCTTCACACGTCGCCAAGGATATATTTGATTAAGACTACACATACAGCATTGGGATTATGACCTGCCAGAATTATAGGCATGCTGCATCAATAAGTGAATACATATTATAAGAGAGAATGGTGTGAGCCCCAGTGGGGGATCGATGAAGCAGGAATGATGGCCTCCCGTGGAACAACATGCACGTTCCTATCCGCCCCGACGGGTAAGGTTTGTTTGTTTGTTGTTTAACGCCGCAAGATTTCAGTTCTATGATGGCGGTCTGTAATTAATCCAGTATGGACCAGACAATCCAGTGATTGACATCATGAGCATAGATCTACACAATTGGGATACGATGACATGGATCAACCAAGTCAGCGATCCCGTTAGTCGGCTCAAACGACAAGCATAGTCACCTCTTACGACAAGCATAGTCACCTCTTACGGCAAGCATAGTCACCACTTACGGAAAGCATTTGTTGCTGAAGACCTATTCTAACCCGGATCCTCACGGGTCCGACGGGTTAGAAGGAGATGAAGGGCGGAACACATCCCTCCCCGGAAAACCAGCAGGACTGACTCAACAGTAAACCGAAAGAGACCTATTTTGATTCAAAGCTGACTTCGCGGGAAATAATTAATCTTTTTGGACGTTCATCTGAAACCGATATCCGGACCGATACTAATTAATATCAAGCATCATCCGGTTATTGAAGTATGTGCATCATAATCATTGATTCTAACTTCAGCCTGTGTGTGAGGACCTACCGAGGCGTGTCATGGCAGCAAACAAACGCAATTACTATATAGCAACACGTATACACGTGCGTGTGTGTGTGTGTGTGTGTGTGTGTGTGCTTGTGCTATAGCTACCTAGACTTACGCCGCTTTTTAGTGCTAGCCCAATGAGATACCATTCCGCCGTTTATCAATGCTACCCCCAACTCAGAGACACAGTAAACTGACTCTTGTTTTGCCCCTTAATGCCGAGCACCAGACAGGGCAACAACAAGTAACAACTTTTGGACGCCTTTTTGTATGGCGCGGCCGGGGATCGAACCACTGACTTCCGCCCTCCGGGCAGTCGCTTCATCTACTACACCATCTACGGAGGCAGTTATTGTGACTGTTATTGTCCCGGCAATACAGAGAGCGCCACTGTGAGGGACTTGCATGCAGGCTTGGAAACAGTTACCGACCCTGGTTCGACCGTACCGAATAAATTAAAAAGGGAACCCAACTCAAGCCTAGAATTCTTTGGCAGGTCTAGACCTCAGCTCTGAAATTAAGCATTGTTCTGGGCTCGATTTGTATTTTGTTTATTGGATGGTTGGTTGGTTGTTTAACGCCGCACTCTGCAATATTCCAGCTATATGACGGCGGTCTGTAAATAATCAAGTCTGGATCAGACATACCAGTGATTGATATCATGAGCATCGATCCACGCATTTGGGATCGATGACATGCATTAACCAATTCAGCGAGCCTGACCACCCGATCCCGTTAGTCGCCTTTTACGACAAGCATAGTCACCTTTTACGGCAAGCATGGGTTGCTGAAGACCAATCTATACCCCGGAATCTTCACGGGTCTATTTTGTTTATTGTATTTTGTAGATATTTTTTGTTAAATAAGATAACTTTATTTCTGGGACTAAATGTTAGTCCAGGTTCGACAACACTGAGGACGTTCTGGACCAATAAAAGAGCGAGACGAAGGTGATTCAAGGCTTCCTTCTGTTACCTAACTTGCCCAGTGAGTACAGGATACAAAGCAATGAATTCTGGCCTGCGCCCAACACTATGTCTTGGACTCAAGAACGGAACACGAGCCTCATTCAAGGCATTTGACTGTGACTAATTCTTCGACATTCGTGTGTGCACTGACTTGTGTAATAGTGCCTGTTATTTATTGCTGCTGTCACATATTGGACCCATCGTATTGTTTTTGTGATTGTAAACCTCATCCTGCGTATTTAAAAATAATTTGTCAATTATTCGTTGATCTTGTGTGGTTATTTACTGACTTCACATTTTGGTTCTGTACGTACCGATTTCTGGGTTCTCCTACGTGTTTCAACTTTGGAATCAACGAGTCACAATAGGACATAATGGCAACACCGTGACCAGCTTAGAACAACACAGGCGGGGACACTGTCATAAGGATAGACACAGCACAGATAACGTGCTGACATACCCCTACGACGCCATATGCAATGCATAGAGAGTATCACGTGTGTCGTAATGGCTCATGAAACGAGTGTCTGAGTATTTGCATTTAGATTACTAGAACTAGGATTCGGACACAAGTTTCGTGAAAGGTGTAAAGCACGCACGCGTACACACTAATCTCTTTATTATCCAAACTTTACCTGTAATGGCGAAGACGCCTCTTACGTTGTGATATCATTTTACATTAAATCAACAATGATGTCTGTATTACGTATTTACATTAGGTTAAACAAAAATTAGTTAAAAAAGAAACGCAAAATCACCATTAAAGTGGCATTATTTATTCTGAAGTATTTATATATTTTTTCGTATGCCGTTGAAGAGTGAATTCCAATATGTTCTATTGAGATTTGTGTTAAGTAGTATATTCGGAATCAGAGGTGAGCAAATGAGACACGTGTGAGAAGTGAAAAATCAGATGGTATTCGGTATTACCATGGTAGCATTTCCTCTGTAATTCACACAGCCATCTCAACAATGCAGCCCTGTCTTATCGCTGTATCGTGTTCACCTTGCACCTGCGGGTCTGTGGTTTAGGTATAAGGTTACTGTTTTATTGTTCAACACCACACGTAAATCAGGATACCTGTGGTTTATAGTCCACGTGGAACTAAACGTGATATGTTACTCCAGGAATACTGATAAATAGTGCAGTTTCTAGTGAACCGCATTAAGCATATCATACTACTCAACTTTTGAAAGGGATACTGAGATATGTCAAATGTACACTTAAGAATCATGCAGTTTTGTGTATCATGGAATATACCTATCCAAAGTTGAGTAGTATATTCACAGGCTCTCTGATACCAATTTCACACATCAGCTGCATGTTTTCTAGGACCGCGTTTGGTGTTACTCTGACGATTCTTCTGGTCTTTATAGTGCAAAGAAATTTTCAATAAAAGTTGAACTGTTGAGAAAGGCTCGTTTAGATCTTTTTACAATTCAGCTTCCGTCGAAATAATGTCAGTGACACTATTCTGTAGATATACAGTAAACTACGGTTATAGCGAACACGCTTATAACGAACTGGCGGATATAGCGAACTAACTTTTTGGTCCCGACTACTTGCTGTAGTCATGCTGTATATGTACTTATAACGAACTACGGTTATAACGAACTAAAATTAGTAGTCCCGTTGAGTTCGTTATAACCGTAGTTTACTGTACATTAATATATACGAGCTGAATTACTTCAAACCGGCGTGGATACTTTAAGTAGAATATTCGTCAGCCAACAACAGTTCCGGAGGGTAACGTTGATCAGTGACATAATAAATTCCAAAAATAAGATTTCTAAAAAATATTACAGGCTTCATGGGTTCGGACGTTTTTTTATAAACAAGATTAAGTAACACGTTGTCTATTTTATGGTGTAAATATACCACTCAATCTCAAATAGCATTGTCACTTTATGTATAGCAATGCGGTAATATCTAATGCAATTAATGACAGATAAAACTTTGGCGAATCGAATCATCGGCTGTGGTATCCTTGACCTGGTGAACGTATACACATCGCACGTTAATGGTAATATCTACACGGCGTATATCTTATACTAGTATTTAAAGAATGGCTTCCTTGTCTTGACCAGACATTGACTAATTGAATTGTAAGTTAAACTTCTTTTTTCCCTATCATTTACTAAGACGCTAGGACAATTTCAGATAAAAGTGTATCGTCAACGGTGTTCGAACCCGCGAAATGAGTACCGTAGGCTGATGAATGTAGTCTTCTACCAAGGCGTCATGGCAGAAGTCCTGTGAAATTACCAAAGGCATATATACTAACATCAAGACGTATTGTTAATCCTTGTATGAACGGGTATGTTGACGCTATACACAGCTTTTTATTTTGTACATTAAACGTACGTCTGCACTATTTTGATACAAGGCCAAAAACAGGTGACAATGGCATTCTAAAATAAAAGTGTATAGAAAGGCCGATTAAACCGATTCAGGCCAAGCCTAGATATGCATACATGAAACTATGAAATTTACACAAATTTGCATGTGTACCATGTTCAGAGATAACGGGGCATTTTGTACACCACACGTAATTGATTTGCATAAGATACATGGTGTCAACATGTAGTTATATTCAATGGGGCACGGGTGTCCCAGTCGTCTAAGGCGCCGAGATTCGCTGTGCAGAGTTGCGTCCTTTGGGCATGCCAGAAACCTATGGTTGTGGGTTCGAATCCCGGTTCGCCCCGATTATGTTTCTAGGTTTGTCAGCACCAAACCCGTGCTCGTGGGTTTCACCGAAGTGGTAAACGTCTGAGACCTGCATCACTTCGGGCTTTCCTCCCACATTAAGCTGACACGCCGTGATATAACTGGAATACTGTTAAATGCGGTTCGGTCGGGGAGCATAGTGGTTAAAGCGTTCGCTCGTCACGCCGAAGACCCGGGTTCGATTCCCGACATAGGTAAAATGTGTGAAGCCCATTTCTGGTGTTCCCCGCTGATATATTGCTGGAATATTGCTAAAAGCGGCGTAAAACCACACTCACTCACTGTTAAAAGCGGCGTTAAACCCAACTCACTCACTTATATTCACTGATAATTTAACTTATGAGCACATATTTGCTATTGCATTGACAGTAAACCTTCTAATTATAATTTACATGTAAAATACCTTGTTACATATACCGAAGGAGAAGACAAGGGTTCACATGTTTCGTGGACACTGTAACTTACACAGTTTTACAAAATATCAGTTTCTCAAGCCAATGGGGTAAGAAATGTTCTTCCTTTCTGTTCAAAGTTATTTTTTGGAGAGGTTGTTATTCAAAACTAAAGACATGGCAAGAGTGAAAAGGTGCATACACGTTTTTGATGTAATTGTGTAAGTTACGCGGAAACTGTGGCCCAGTATTGAAATATTCTAGACGTGTTATTTGTTATCTTTGACCCTTGATTAACACTGGTTGATTCTAGTCAACACTGGTTGATTCTAGTCAACACTGGTTGATTCTAGTCAACCCTGGTTGCTAGAAATGGGGTGACCTCGGTTGACTGAAGTCAATCAAAATTTCATATTCGTGGTAACGAACATGCAATCAGCTGACAGTGCAAGGAGCTCACGTTACAGATTAGCGTGTAGTGACTAGTGAAGTATTGTTTGGCCGTGCTGTAGAGTAATACATACCTCAATTACTTCCTACCAGTCGCAATGGGAATAAAACAGAGCCATTCATACCATGTCAGCTGTAGTTTACATAACACAAGTTACCTTTATCGACGTATAGCAAGTTACAATGATAACACATCAAACAAATGTTAAACAATGGAAACTAAATATACCACAAGAAATATTAAGAAATATTTCATGACTGTCTGAATTAGGTCAAGTTAAATTCAAAGATTAAAATAAATAAACAAAACGCCATACAACGCCTGTGAATAGAGATAACTTTACAGTACCTATGCACTCTGCATGTTAAATAACATGACATTCCCAGTCAGTTATGTGTTTTCAAGATTCATTAACTAATCGCCAATATATTATATGTCTGATATATAGGATTGCAGGGTATTATGAATAGCCGGCTATTATAGAATTATGTTCTTATGACTTACAGGAGGAGATTTAAATGTGTACCTCTACTACATAGTGCACATGGTGAACCCAAGCAAAATACGACCTAAATACATCTAGCTGGTATCGGTAAAATAAAGTAAATTACCTCATATTATCTTAAAGGGGAGCTACGGCAAGACACAAAGGCAGTCCTAGCAAGTTTTATCAAAGTACTCAAAAACACTATTTGCTACAATCTTTAAATTCAAATTTTATGAAGAACATTCTTGTAGTTAATATATATAGTTAAAAATTACAATATTGAAAAAGTAGACGAAAAGAATCTCATATTTCACATATGCCACTCATTTGACGTCTAGACAGCCCCTTTAAGAAAATGTTTGATGTTTGGTCTATTGTTTTCCAAATATAATTATAAATCATATATTAACGTCGGGGGCGGTCGGGTAGCCTAGTGGTTAAAGCGTTCGCTCGTCACGCCGAAGACCCGGGTTCGAATCCCGACATGGGTACAATGTGTGGAGCCCATTTCTGGTGTCCCCCGCCGTGATATTGCTGGAATATTGCTAAAAGCGGCGTAAAACCAAACTCACTCACTCACTCACTATATTAACGTGTTTTTTTTTAAAATATATTTAATATATATTTCTCACTGGACAAATGGTTAGAATAAAGAAAGGCTTCCCCCTACCGTCACTTCTTCCTTGTCCTCGTCAAAGCCCCAGTCGTCTGGGTTCCTGTAGATCGTCTTCTCTCGAATCAACCTATCCTGTCCGAATGTGTACTGTTGCCGCGTGTGGCGTTGTGCGTAGGTCTCTGGGTATAGTTCCTGAGTTTTCATTTCGTTATGCGCGGTCTGCTCTTGTTCCCCATGTGACACTTTAGAGTCCGGTTTGGGCACTGGTTTTGAAGTCGTCTTTCCGAGGAAGTCGTCCCAGTCATCGTCGTCGAGGTCGGAGTCACTATTCCATTCCAGTTTACTGACGGGTTTTTTGTCAGTTTTAACTGACTTACTTGGAGAACGTTCCGTAGTAGTTTTTTCAACATTTGAGTCTTTAACGGGTGATTTCGACGGTGATTGATTCGTCGTTCCGGTGTCCGTATTGGTTCCGCTTTTGGAATGACCCGTCGTGGACTTTATGGATACGTTGTTATTTACATTAGCAACAGCGACTGGTTTTGAACCCCCTCCCCTCGTATCGACCCTACCTGTCTTTTCCTTACTAGATCCAGATCCCATCGTTTCACATCAACTTCACAGATATCATCACATTCAAATAAAATTAAATCCGTTTTCTGTAAAGCCAATTCCGACTGGAAAACAACCGCAACACAAGCCTTGCATTTCTACCGGAGAACTCTCACGGCTTATCAGCCGTAGGCATGCAAACTGGTGTTGCATGCTAAGCAGTGATTATCTCCCTTGGTCGTTCGCTAACCACATGTTTAGTTGCGCGAGTGTTATTTAGGCTATTGGACTTGCTCAATGAACTAAGAATAGACCAAAGATACATTGTCAGGGCGAGGCAGTTCAAATACTCACAATAAACAGGCGCTATTGAAATAGGTAGGTTCGATCACGTATACGTGCGAATTAGAACCGTAGAACTGATCGTGTTGATTATGCACACTACACCCGTTGCACTTTAAATATAGTGTGTATAACTGTCAGTTATTGTATTACGTATGCCATGTTCGATAAATTTTATATATTAAAGAACCATAAAAAATAAACGTCGCTCGCAGAAAGAATTTTTACAAAATTACTTTTACCTCACCTTTTCGTAATTTCTTGATGCGATCTTACCATTCTGCTTTTATGCACTTCGAAAATCAAAAAATTTAACATTATTTTACAATGACAATACTAATCATGATAACGTCTATATCTTGATTAATCACATTAACAGTACAATAACTCAGGCCTGACCGGTAAGAACACAAGAAAATAAAGGCCCGTACGTCACGTGGTGTTGATAACATCAGTAGCAGACTATTGAGTATACCACTGATTATCCACATAGTGTAGCTGATATTAGTATTACCTTACTAATTCCACTTAAGGGCACGACATGAACCACAGGGAGGGAGTGCCAGATTACTGAATTGTGTGAGGCAAGGGTTATACAATACCCATTAATCCTCGTTAGTACATCCACCCTTACATGTTTTCATTCATCCTTTGAGTGATTGAGTGAGTTTGGTTTAACGCCGCTTGTAACAGTATTCCAGTTATATCGCGGCGTGTCAGCTTAATGTGGGAGGAAAGCAGGTCTCTGACGTTTACCACTTTGGTGAAACCCACGAGCACGGGTATGGTACTGACAAACCTAGAAACATAATTGATGCAAACCGGGATTCGAACCCACAATCATAGGTTTCTGGCGTGCCCAAGGGACGCAGTTCTGCACAGTGAATCGTCTAGACTGGGTCACCCGTGCCCTTTATCTTTTGAATTGTTTGCATATATATCCTGGGTGTGAATTTCCAACCTCAACTATAGCAGTACAACTGGGTTATAATTGATATGATGGACAGCAAAATAACGTTTGCAGAGGTAATTTTAATGTTATAATGGGTGACGGAATAAAAATGATGAGTGCAATGTAACGTCATATATACTATTTGTAAAGGTAAACTATCAATATATTTTTTATCCATTTAAAGGCCACGGGCCCAAAAAACATAATACGACAATCGATTCATCCAAGTATCAAACTGATTTAACTAACATTCTTGATGAAGGGACTTATGCACATAATTTCATCGGGTTGAATGTAAACTTTGAAACCTGTACATTAGTAGTGTTACAATTTGAAGACGTTTTATGTGCAAACGATTCCAATGATTAGGGTAGTATTTAGGATTAATGTATTTCACTCTTAGGTCAGTCATCTTTCTGAGGCAAGAGAGTTAACTGACTTTAAAAGTCCAGTTTCCACCCTTGCCGAACTAGGCTGGAATAACTGGGCTCGATCGTAGCGCCACCAGTGGCTAATACCAATTATGTCCCTTCTAAGCCTCTCCTAAGGACCAATCAGATTCCACCTCTCGTATCACTTGCGTTTGCTTCACACAAAATGGTTGCGATCTGATCGATAATCAATATCTATATTGTGATAAAACGGGTCTTACATCGCGATATGCATCAAATCACGTGAGCACCTTGATTAAAAACATGAGAAGATTTTGAAAATATCTGCTGACAACGAGTTGGTGGTGCACATGCTTTGCAAATCCTGCAATCGACCGAAATCTGCACGACAGTTTACGAACCGGATTTCAATTTCGGTGCACGATTTTGATTGGACTTTGCATAGACTCGTTAGTCCGGCCAAAATGTAACTCCATGATACCAGCCTAGATCGGCAAGGGTGGTAACTGGACTTTTATAGTCAGTTAACTCTCTTGTCTCGGGAAGATGATTTGATCCGGAGAAGGCGACTATGCTTGTCGTATAAGAGGACACTAACGGGATCAGGTGGTCAGGCTTGCTGACTTGGTTGATGCATGAGCTCGATCCTCATGATACCAATCACGAGATTGTCTGGTTCAGACCCGATTATTTACAGACCGCCGTCACATAGCTGGAATATTGCTGAGTGCGGCGTTTAACAACAAACATACAAACAAACTTCATAGTCCCATATTTGGTCGACGCAGGTCATGTGTGTGTGTGTCTGTGTGTGTGTGTGTGTGTGTGTCTGTGTGTGTGTGTGTGTGTGTCTGTGTGTGTGTGTGTGTGTGTGTGTGTGTGTGTGTGTGTGTGTGTGTGTGTGTGTGTAATACTGAATTTAAGAAACGAGAGTCGGACTTTTTATTTCCCGAGCTAGGAATTGCGAATTAATTTCCCCTAGTAAATTCATTTCCGATCCTTGGACAGTTCACCCGTAATTTCGAGTTACTATTTATTCTGTATATCACTCATAGTTTTTTTTCCCAGGAGAATGAAGAAAATTATGTACTCCCCGATATCACGTTGTGAGACATCAGCGACGTCACATAAAGAGGTGCAGGCTAAAACGTCACCCAAGCTTTACGTCATCGATTTCATATGCTACATAAATCTGAATTCTTGGATAGGCATTTAGAAGTTGGAAGAACATGAATACATGACACTGTATATTTTTTATAGCTAAGATCTCTTTTTATTCTTTGTCTTGACGATGGTATATTTGTACTCATTAAAATAATTATTTTTGCAAAATCGAAAATTTCAAATATTGACTTTCAGCAGAGATAATCTATTATACGGTCTCTGCTGTGAGAACACGAACTATGAAAATATTTAGTGGGTGACAATACCAATAGTTGTCTTTTCCTTCTTCCAGGTGGCAGGATTCCAGTCACGTGGTCTTTCTTTGCACGCCATATTGCTTCTGGTGAGCACGTGTGATAGAAACAGGGATGGCAATATTTAAATAGAATCTGTTATTGAGTACATGTCCATCACATTTAGCAGCTTTCTTTTTCCATTGTTTTATTTAGTGTCTAGATATGATATAAAGGGAGTCTTTCGAATATCATGTTCCGAATTACATGGTGTGGTTCCCCGATGACGGGATCGGGTGGTCAGGCTCGCTGACTTGGTTGATGCATGTCATCTATCCCAATATTGCGTGGATCGATGCTCATGATATTAATCTCTGGACTGTCTGGTCCATCCTCGATTATTTACAGACCGCCGTCATATAGCTGGAATATTGCTGAGTGCGGCGTTAAACAACCAACCAACAACACCGATATATTGCACAACCTCACGACATAATCATCACAGTCCTACAGTTTGATAATTGCCCCGCTTAGCAATCTTTGCTCTCTCGCCTCTTGATTTTCCAAAGAGGCAGACGAAATCAGGTCGGCATTTTTTGTTGTTTGATATTCCAACTGAAAAAACCCAGACGCACACACGTCACCACACCACTCCCCAGAATATCCAGGTTTTACATGATGCACTATCATATTCGTTGTAGTATTTTGTACGAAATTTCTTGAAAGAAATGTTAAAGTCCTGTAGTTAAGATTTTTATCAAATCTTACACTACACTATCATAACTTCACAGGACCCTCATATTTCTGTGGAACAAAAAAAGGTTGATCTCGCCAGCAGTAAACTCAAGGAATGCATACAGTAGTGATTACATCCTTCATTTAGTGCTGGCCTTGTCGGGGGAGGGGGAAAATTAGGAATAATGGGAGCATATCATCTACTATAGCTTTTAAACACAAATGAAATATCAATTGTTGCATCTCTTCCAGTTCTGTCTTTAAACTGAAGATTCAATCCCTGATCCACAAAGATGGTCAAGGAAGACAGATCTACCTGGAAGTCGAACTACTTCCTTAAGATTGTCGTAAGTAGCCACATCTGACATTGCTGGACGACACCAATACCACTGACAATGATAATGCATTTTAAGAAAACCAGTACATCTACCTAGTGAGTAAATTTAAGCATTTACATTCTATGTACAACAGTATAATCAATAAGGGCCATCTATGGTGACTATGAACAAATATTATCAATAAAATGTGTTATTCTTCAGCAACTTCTGGATGAATTTCCCAAATGTTTCATAGTGGGTGCGGACAATGTCGGCTCCAAGCAGATGCAGAAGATCCGACAGGCCCTACGAGGGAGAGGAGGTAAGAAATGCATGAATTAAAAATCAGGAAACACAAATTGGAGTTGGCCATCCACTTAAAAGTTTGAAGGCAAACAGATCAAGACCAATACCCTCATGCAATGATGATCCAGCGAGTTGCGAGTGTCACATAGCCAAACGATAGAGCCAGAAATGGCTGAACCCACTGTCGTTTTTGTGACACAGAGAGCAATATCTTGCCATTTTGGCTGTCTGAGCATGAATGGGGAGTATGATTGAGTCAACACTTTATGCCACAAGGTATCCCACATGGCCAATATGGAGCAATTACTTCACCTATTTTGATTGGTCTATATTGACCACCCAATCTTATTATAACTGCTTGTGCATATTGTTCATAACACAAGGCTGCTTGTCACAAAGATAATTTCAATTAAGTATGATACAGAAGGCCACAATGGGATAAATATCTCGATTCTACAGAACAAATACTATTAACTGAAATAGTCGTGTATTTCAGATGCTTGAAAGAATGGCAGTATACTTTATTAACTGTTCAAATCAAAGTAATGGGGAAACGAAAAATGATGCAAAACAGCACATTTGTAGTCTGCATTTACGCATTTATGGTAATTCTTTTAAGTAATATGGATTTTCTATCGTATCATGATATAGGTCTGTATGTATTGTGGGCGGTCGGGTAGCCTAGTGGTTAAAGCGTTCGCTCGTCACGCCGAAGACCAGGGTTCGATTCCCAACATGGGTACAATGTGTGAAGCCCCTTCCTGGTGTCCCCCACTGTGATATTGCTGGAATATTGCTAAAAGCGGCGTAAAACCATACTCACTCGCTGTATGTATTGTATCACGGTGCATAATTGTTGGTGTATCGTTTGACACTTTGTGGGGTTTTCAGGTTGTCAGTCATCAATTATTTGTGTGACTTGATTGCATATCTTTGTACCCTTAGCATGGGGGGGGGGAGCATTTCTCGAATCAATCACTGGTTTGTCTGGACCCTCCTTGGATATAACAGGCCGCTGTTGTTTACCTGGAATATTGCTGAGTTTGGTACTGAAAAACAAACAAAACATCTGTTACAAGTTGATTCCACAGTTAAAGTGCAAAAAACATTTGCACAATACCAGCATCAACAAGTCACTTTTGACATTGCATAAGTCTTTATTAGGTCATGCCTAACGTAGCTGATGATTCAAAGTAGCAAATGTAACATGTTTTCTGGATCAACATGACTAATTATGAATGAATGACTTGTTCCCTGAGTCTTTTGAAAGCAATAAAGTAGATGTAAGCTAGTGTCAGTATTTCTGTAATTCAGATTTATTTTTGTCATTGTGGAATGGAGATAAACATTAGTGTTTTCAATGTAGAGCTATGTTTCTCGTATATTTGGCCAAGCTGAATTTAACATACACTATTCAATGTTTGCTTGTCTCCCAAATCATTCATTGCCCTGCCACAATCTGGTTTCAGTTGTACTGATGGGGAAGAACACCATGATGAGAAAGGCCATTAGGGGCCATCTGGAGAACAACCCAGCCCTAGAGAAGTAAGTTTGTCTCATATTTGTTCTGATCATTAGGGGGCGGTAGGTATCCTAGTGCTTAAAGCGTTCGCTCATCATGCTGAAGACCCGGGTTCGATTCATGACATGGGTACAATGTGTGAAGCCCATTTCTGGTGTTCCCCGCCGTGATGTTGCTGGAATATTGCTATAAGCGGCATAAAACCGTACCCACTCACTCTGATCATTAGTCTGTCAGACCCATACCAATGCATGGATTTTTAAAATTAACACTGGACTGCCTCTGTGGTCTAGTGGTAGAGCGTCAGCATGGAGAGCAGGAGGTCCAGGGCCGTGTCATATCAAAAGACATTAAGAGATGGTACTTGTTGTTACCCTGCCTGGCGCTCGGCATTATGGCAATAAAACAGGTCGGTAAACTGTCTGAGTGGGGTATTCATGTTACACTGTGGCATGGTATCTCCGTGAGCTAACACTATAAAATCAACATTTGTAAGGGAGCAGCCACACACGTGAATGCATGTCGCGATATAAGTGCAGTAATCTTGAATGGGCCGTTAAACCCCATTTCACTGTGCCTATTTTCATACTGAAACTAGTGCAGAAAGAGGTAATCAACTTAAAGGCTTTAGGCATGGACTGCATCATATTCATATTGGTCAACATCTACAATCTGCATTGCTTTCCTCAAACATTATATCAGCTTAATAATTACTGTTAAATGAAATACTTTTAAAAGCAGCATTTTGTTGCAGAAACCCTCGCCAACTTAGTCATGAAATTGTGTTGGACATAAGTATGGTAATGAAGTAGATTGAAAATTAGTAATATGTGAAGGGGGAGGAATTCTCAGTACTGGTGTATGCATTTACATGTATAGGTTGTGATCAGGTGAACACTAGCAAGATGTTTTAACCCAAGCCATGTTCACTGAACTGCAATGATGATCCAGCAAGCGTTGCGAGCGTCACATAGCCAAACGATAGAGCCAGAAATGGCTGAACCCACTGTTGTTTTTGTGACACGGAGAGCAACATCTTGCCATTTTGGCTGTCTGAGCAAATTGTAACCTCATGCTGATAGAACATGGATGATCATGGCGAGGAGTCAGTAATGACAGGTTTTTAGAATGTATATGAAGCCAGTGTAGCATGCCGCGGGAGAATGGTGCTGACTGACGTTCATGTTGCAGGTTGCTGCCACACATCCGAGGCAATGTGGGATTTGTATTCAGCAAGGAAGATCTCACTGACATCCGAACTGTCATCATGGAGAATAAAGTGAAGGCCCCTGCCCGTGTGGGAGCTGTTGCCCCCCTGGATGTGACGGTCCCTGCCCAGCACACCGTCCTCGGACCCGAGAAGACCTCTTTCTTCCAGGCCCTTCAGATTCCTACCAAAATCACCAAAGGCACCATTGAAATTCTGGTACATGAACGCTTTGTATCTCATTGAAAAAGTCTTTTTTGTCCTTTCTTGCTAGAAACATTTGCTCATCATGTCAAAGGCCTGGGTTCAACTCTCCACATGCTATAAATATGTGAAGCCCATTTCTAGTGTCCCCCATCTGTGATATTGCTGGAATGTTGCTGTAAATTGTGTAAAACACTTCTCCCTCACTAATGTTTATTCTGGGGACACAGATGGCTCTGTTGTCTAAGGTGCCGCATATCGCTGTGCAGAGTTTCATCCCTTGGGCACGCCAGAAACCTATGATTGTGGGTTCGAATCCCGGTTCGCCCCAATTATGTTTCTAGGTTTGTCAGCACCATACCCATGCTCGTGGGTTTCACCGAAGTGGTAAATGTCTGAGACCTGCATCTCTTCGGGCTTTCCTCCTGACACACCATGATAGAACTTACTGTTAAAAGCAGCGTTAAAACTTACTCACTCACTCACCCAGTTACCCCTAATTAGTGTCTCGGTTTGTTGGCACCATACCTGTTGTCATGGGTTTCACCAAATCGGTAAACATCCAAGACTTGCATCCCTTCAGGCTTTCCTCCCACATCATAACTGGAATACTGTTCAAAACAGAGTTAAACCCAAGTCACTCATTCAGTGCCAGTGACATCCATGAGTACATTGTGTACATAGCCTGGCAGTGATACAGACATGCAATGGCAATGTTTTGGCAATGGATATTGTTTTCAAGGAACCATCTAAGATATTGAAAACTGGTAACAGGAGGCCTCTGCTGCCATGACATGAGCCTCTTGAACAGTGCATTATTGTATTGGTATAAAAAGATTCATATCGCAATACGCACCATCTTGGAAACAGCACTTCTAGCATGGGCTATTGCTAAATCAGCATAAAACCATAGTCGTTCCTTTCTTACTGTGAAGAAATCTAAATTATAATCATTTTTCCTAGTGGACAATGATCCAGGATTTTCTCTTTTCTACTGACCAAGTTATGTTCTTGATGAGCCTATTGTACTCAGGGTTAGAAACTAACAGCTTTTACCACTAGTCCTTATAATGATAACATATAGCAAAACCCTTAAAATGGGCCAATTTCTACTAGTCCTTAGGATACCTTTACTATTGGGCAGTTTGGTAAGGACTACAGGACTAAAGAACTCACGGAAATGGAAAAAAAACTGTTTTTTCGACCTCAGATCTTAAATAAATCCAGTTAATATACAAAATATGTAAATATTCAAACAACTAAATTAGTACTATTTGGGCCGTGGCACAAATACAGCGTATCAAATGTTTTTATGCCTTTTTACACGTAAAAGTGTGTGAAAATGTGAATAAAACAGACTATTGTGAAACAGGGCATAACCAGGTGTAAGTAGATCAAGGTGAACTATGACACCTTGATGACAGGTGAGAACAGGTGCATAATGCCTATAGTCTGTTTCTGCTATGTCAATTTGGACTTAGTTTAATTTTTGAATGTTGAAAGTGCCAACAAATTACCTCCTGTAAGGTACATTTTGTATTGTTCACGGAGATCAAACTAGCAAATCCAGACTAGTACTTTTCGAGTTGTTTTGTTATTTCGTATTTACAGCTACGTAACACTTTGTGTCGATTTTTAAATTGAGAAAAACAGGTTTTTTTCATTTCCATGAGTACTTTAGTGCCAATTTCTAACGCTGGTACTCCATTCACCTTGGTCTTGATCATCTTTCCTAGAATGCTGTGAATCTGATAAAGACTGGAGATAGAGTTGGACAGTCCGAGTCAACTCTCCTCAACATGTTGGGAATCTCCCCATTCTCATATGGGTTGATCATTGAACAGGGTAAGTATAATGAAAGAAAATCTTGTTCCATTAGTCGAGGCAAGGTTAGCACAGTGGTTAACGAAGACTGGTACAACGTTGATACAAATGTTACAATGTATGAAGCCCCCTCCGTCCTCGTGTGTGTGCACCCTTGAAGATCCGGGGGAGTATAGGTCTTCACAAACCCGTGCTTGCCATAAAAGGTGACTGCTTGTTGTAGAGGCGACTAATGGGATTGGATGGTCAGGCTCGCTGACTTGGTTGATGCATGTCATCGTATCCCAATTGCAGGTATTGATGATCATGTCTTTACTGACCACTGTCCTATAGCTGGAATATTGCCTAGTGCGGCGTTTTAAACAACGAACAAACCTCTGTGTGTGAGAATTATTTCTTAGATAAAGGTGTGTGATATTAACAGTGACATTTACATGCACTTCATGCCTTATGTAACAATTTCAGTCTATGACTCCGGCACCATCTTCTCCCCCATGATCCTGGACATCACCGACGAAGACCTTCGGTTCAAGTTCATGCAGGTAATGACATCTACTTCCTTCGTATGGTTTATCAGGAGTGATGTTGGCCATTCAGTGTCTCTACACTTAGTTTGTAACAAGCTTGTCATGAGTCTCGGGGAATACTAGAAGTTCACTTGCTAGTTAGGTTGGAATAGCTTCAGTGTAAATCAACATGAAGCTCTCCCTTAGTACCGTAATTTAGCTAGATAAGGCAATATGATTTCATTGAGTTATCAGCTTAGACCTGTCAGAAATGGTGTTTGAATGATGCATTATACTTTCGTTCTACTGAGAACCCTGACGAGATTTATTTATACTGACAAACACCCAAGCATTGAAACTGTCTAAGTTGGTGCAGTGAAGGGCTTAATAAGGATTCTGTATACAACTTCTGCTACTTTTGTTCTCAACATTGACAGTGTGTCGCTGATGGGTTTTTTTATACTTTTTAATTTTTGTTGCATTTTGTATATGTGTTTCTAGTATGTACACAAGTTAACAATACAAGTTGATTTTGTCATGTATATCACTGGACAAAGTGGATCAGTTGAACAATAAATTAGGGAAGACAAGAATTTGTAAAATAATATCCAGTCTTGATCATAAAATTGCTGCACCTTTTTGTAATGATGTAATATTGGTACAATTCCTGCTGTAGGAACTGAAAGGTTGGAATTCGTTGTGATTCTATATTTGAATGTTAGTTGTTCGAAGAATATCAGGATCACATTTAAGGGGTCGTTTCTTTGTATCAGAGAAAAATGTGTTTGGCATGTGGTATTTTAACTGTTTTTGTTAAAAATCCAATTCTCCAGTTCCTGCCAGATTGTAGTTGCCCTGCTACAATCAGAAAATATATGAGAAGCTGTTGCTGCTTCACTTGAACAATAGCTGCAAATAGCTTCAGAATAAATCAACATGAAGCTTTAGTACTGCAATTGTAGTTGAGATAGATAGGCAATATAATTTCATTATGTTGATGCAGCTTAGACCTGTCAGAAATGGTGTTTGAATGATGCATTATACTTTCGTTCTACTGAGAACCCTGAGGAGATTCTGTTTATACTGACAAACACCCAAGGATTTAAATTCTCACTTTGTGTAGTGGAGGGCTTAACAGGGCTTAATTTAGCAGTGCAATGTAATAGTTTTATCTACATGCACAAAATGCATGTCCAAATCTTTTGAATTTGTGTCTAACCTTTCATGCCCACACATCAAAGATCTTACAACACATTCAATACATGTAACAAACTGTAGACCCGTGAGTGAGTATGGTTTTATGCCGCTTTTAGCGCCTTCACACATTGTACCCATGACGGGAATCGAACCCGGGTCTTTGGCTAGACGTGCAAACACTTTAACCACTAGGCTACCGGAGCGCACCGTAGACCCGTGAAGATCCAGGGTAGAACAGGTTTTCAGCAACCCATGCTTGCCGTAAAAGGAGGCGACTAAGGGGCTAAGGTGGGCAGGCTCGCCTTCTTCGTTGATACATGTCATTGTATCCCAATTGCATGGATCGATGCTCATGATGTCAATGGATTGACTCGATTATTTACAGACTGCCATCATATAGCTGGAATATTGCTTAGTGCGGCGTTAAACAACTAACCACAAGGTTTATTTACCATACTACATCAATAATCACCTGTTTTATGTGTAATTTGTCATGCCTTATGGGGCTTGACGTCAGCTCTGATACTTAAACATTATGTACATGTCAGGGTGCAACCTGATTTTGTCTGGTCAACATGCACTTGGCGCAAGTTAAATCAAGATCCGTAAATCGAGTCCTACTTAAGAAGAATGGTGTATACAACTTCAACATTTGTTCCCAGATTGTGCGCAACATCGCCAGCGTGTCTCTGATGATTGGCTACCCAACAGCTGCATCCGCCCCTCACTCCATTGTCAACGGATTCAAGAGGCTTCTGGCCATTGCTGTCGAGACTGACTACACCTTCCCCGAGGCTGAGCAGGTAATGGCTCCATCCATAATGCTTGTGGTACTGTGATTTGTAGAGAGCTTGCTGAAGGTGAGGGCAAATGACTTTGTACTTTGGGACTGTGGAAGTACAGACAGCCAGTAATAAAGATGGGTGAAAGAGTTGCCTGAAGTGAGGGCTGTATGGTTACGAAATGTTAATAATTGTGTGTCAGCGTCCTGTATCCGGACAGTGGATTGCCATCAACCACTTGGTTTGTCCAGCCTCAACTGTTCATACCAGAGACTGAGTGAGGTATGGCTAAGATATTGAGGACTCTGGCTTAAACAAACTCATAAATATTTGGCCAATATTTTGTTTTGTTTCTATAGAAACATTCATGCCTTGGAAACTTTCTATGACATTGTCTGGACATCCACATATGAATTGTCAGTTACCACGTATGCATAAGAAGCCATATTTTAAAAAAACAACATTTTAAGCTTGAATTTATTGCTGTTTGCTTGCAGACAAAGGAATACCTGAAGGATCCATCCAAGTTTGCCTCCGCTGTAGCTGCCCCAGCTGCTTCCGCAGGGGCCGAGAAAGTAGAGGCAAAGAAGGAGGAATCTGAGTCGGAAGATGAAGACATGGGCTTTGGTCTCTTTGACTAAGGGAGATAACTCCAGCAGGACTCCCATCCATCTCAGCCATCTGATGTCTTCAGTGCCGGCTTCAAGCCATATGGCCTGAAGATAATAATAAACTTGGGACTGACAATGTTGTATTTGTTTTATTTTTCATATTATCTCAAAGGATTCAAATTTATATTAGCAATGATAGAATTGTTTGGGCACCAATGGGGGAGGTGTAATGTGTGTTTGTGTGTCCAGCATCGTTCTGGTTTAAGGTCTTTTGGGGAATTGCTGTGGACCTGATTGGTGCAGGACTGAATTGTACATCATTCTTATAACATTAACGAGTGTCTTATGATAGAACGTCGCTATATAAGTGCAATAATATTGGAGGCGACGTTAAACCCAATTTCACCTCACCTCACCTCACCTCACCTCACCTCACCTCTTATGATGGACAAGAGAGCCTGTATACCATCTTCCAGAGTGTATGTGAACTGTGTAATGTAAGACACCACTACCTTCACACACAGGTCACCAGGACACACCGCTATCTTCTCATACGGGTCAGCACCAGGTTTTCACTAATCTTTCTGTCCCTTCCTTTGAAGTAACCATTTTTTATCCCCCCCCTCTCTCTCTCTCTCTCTCTCTCCCCCCCCCCCCCCCCCCCCCCGACATATACTACTCAAAAGAAGTTAAGGATCACCTGATTCTTTCATATTACTATAGTTAATCTCTCATGCCTTAACAGATTAACTTCACCAATATGAAAGAATCGGATGATCCTTAACTTCTTTTGAGTAGTATATAATGACTGGATGTAGCCATCAGTATGTCTGTCCGTCTGTCTGTAATCATTGTTTGTCTGGAGCATATTTTCTAAACCGTACAACCTAGCTTCGCAAAACTTGGTACACTTACCAATCAGGCTCAGTAGTAGTGCCTTTTGCTATTAAGAGATTTTAGAATTTTTTATTTTTGTCTTTTTTTCTGGAAATATGATGAACTTAGGACCTATCAAGCAGGTTATGTAGTGGTGCCTTTGCTATTAACAGAATTTTTGTTGTTGATTTTTTCAAATTAAATTGAAAATTGATGAACTTAGAGTAATGTCCTCGTCTGGAGCATATCTTCTAAACCATGCGACAGAGATTCACCAAACTTTATGCATATCAATCATGTTCACTAGCAGTTTGTTATTTATAGATTTTCATCTTTTTAATTTGTAGCCCCTGAAATATAATGAAAGGTGTACTATTTACCGATATCATATACTATATATGATGTGAGCTACATAACCTAGTACATTCTCTTTGTGTCATGAGGCTACTACAGAGCTATTCATATGCGAATCTGCGAAGTTATTGTTATTACAATTTCATGAGATCATCAGAAAGTGAGCTACATGAACCAATATTTAATAACCTTCATTATATTTCTGGTTTTGGCATCAAGGAAAAAGATTTCCTTGCCAATCTAAATACATTTGAAGGTACACAAAGTTTACCGACATGCCACGTCGGGGGGATATGTCAACTTCGGATTACTCTTGTTTAAGACTATTTGTCATCCTCCGTTATCTACACTATATCTTAATTGTATGACACTAGAATGGACATATGGTACTCTGGATAATGGACAAAAGATTATGGTACGCTTTTCAGAAAACGACAAAGTAAAAAGGCTCGGGATTTCATGTTAGAAGGTAGAAAGTAGGCATGTTAAGGAAAGTAGTTCGTATTTATAATACGCATTGGAGGAGATGACCTAGTGTAATTCCAGTCATACACGATTTGAGACAATGATTGTATCCCCTGAGTACAAAAGTACTGGACGTCTAACTGCAACGATGACCCTTGTTCGAGTGATGGACAGAATCATTGTGCTACTTGCTATCGTATCCCGACATGGTGATTCGGGGCCAGGTTCGATCTAGCACAGGTCGCAGTAACATTGTTTATGGTCACTGGTACATTTTCGTATACTCTTGGACGTACATTCGGGATTGCAATCTTACTTTTGTGAAGCTATGAAGTACTTGTTATACATGGAAATTTACCCGAATACATTCTCCAGGTTATGCTGTACGTGGTATTGGTATCTTTTCTTTTTATCATACGGGGCGTTGGAATAGCCTAGTGGTTACAACGTTCGCCCGGGTTCGATTCCCCACATGAGTACAATGTGTGAAGCTTATTTATGGTGTCCCCCTACTTGATATTGCTAAAAGCGGCGTAAAACCATACTCACTCATTCACCCACCCACCTGAAAGGCATCAAATTGCTGTCCCATTGCCCAGCGTGTCCCAGGTCTTCCCCGACGTTATTTTGCTGCAATACTGTTTAAAGCGTCGTAAAATCAGTCCTCACATGCTCTCAGATCCGCGATCTTTCCGACTTCTTAAGAGGTTATATTAGGTGAAATGGGGTTTAACGTCAAGGTCGCTTTTAAGCATGCGTGCACACTGAGTTTTATCGCAGTTAAACACAAATGCTGCATTGATACAGCTGAAACACTATAAATATCCCTGAGTATCAAGTGGTTCAAAGCTTCAAGGGCGGACTGTGGGCATATCTATAATATTCTCACAAAATATCTAAGCGACTGTGTGGAGTATTGGGGAAATGGTTAGGTGTTTGCCTTATTGGAGACTCCATTTTACAGTTTCGGGCAGTTTTCCCTAGTTCATGATATCAATAAATGAATTATAAAATAATTAAGAACTTGTTTTTCTTAAAGTGATTCCTTAGACATAATGTCTGTCTTGGGAAATAAAGACAAAATATTCCCCAAAGGGTCAAATAGACTCGGCGGTAAGAAAATTAAATACATGTACTCTTCTCAAAATAAATTTTCAGCAAATCTCAAATGCCGTTCGAACATTAAGGAAATATTGTAATCAAAGTGATGAAGGTCTCACTTCTGTGGTACCGATGTAAACGTTTACATGCGGGTTTTATAAAAAAACTGAAACTTGATATTCGAACGCTCCTTTATCAAAATAGAATACGGAAACGACATTAGTCTGCGACAAAATATGAAATATTCAGAGTGGTGATGAGGTACAAAATAGTGTTGCCATGAATAGCTATTTAGAAACATAACAAACATTGTTGCCGTGTGCAAAACGAGGTTTCAGTGCCCTGTTGTCTCCATTGATCGCCTTTGTATCAATGCAAGGTAGTCACCGCTAACTGTGTACAGGAAAGGTTCTATTAGGTCTTAATTGCTTTCATGGGGCCTGTGACACATAGCCACTGTAGAGATACGTGCGTCATAACTCATGCACTAAATGGGTGCTGTGCTGTAGGGTCTGTTGTCAATACAGGGGAGATATACACATGTGATCAGTGCCCTGTGTTCAATGCATACACCGCCTCCGGGTCAAGTTATAACTGTTATATGAAAGCTCACTCATACACACTCACAACACACAATTTGAGTGTGTCTGCGTGGGGTACCCATGTTAAACTGCGGCATGGTATCTCGGTGAGTTAGCGGTATAAAAACGGCAATAGTCTAGAGTGTGTGTGTGTGTGTGTTGGGGGGGGGGGCTTTTCGTCCCCGCAGAAGGGCAGAAAATATGTCTAATTTCACAATAACTGTCACCATGGGAACAAAACACATCGGTTTATAACACCAGATAAATAAAATCATTACTGGCCGGTACTTGCGTTAATTTGTATTTCTATAAAGGAACACCATGAAGCTGTCGTTCTCTACGGTGGCCCATAAGGGACATGGAGCCTGATTCTCACTATTTTGATGTTGCACTTACTTTTATCGTAACCTTTTGCAAATTAACACAATTTATCATACATATATCATCAAGCAACCAAAACACAACACTAAACATTTTGTCATAGTCATATATTTATCAAACTCGTACATACTACACAAGACAATTGTTGGTCAGTAAACACAAGGTTATTGTGACAATCACATATGTGTCACGTTTTACAGGTTGCTAAATGTTTGGCAGAAAGAAGCCATTTGACTTAAAAAGTTAGAAATTACAAAATTAACCTCAGAGACTAGAGAAGAAATACACTAATACATTCTTACCAGATCGGCAAAACTGATTCCTTCGTGGCGTAGCCGTTCTATTATGTCTAGGATAGCGATCGTCTCCATGGTCTCCTCTAATATAAACCAGAATACAATGTTAACATACAAGAGTTTGTTTCTCTAAAAGATTTCACATAAAGAGCAAATGTTTTGTGTGAATGTGTAGGTTAAATGCTTTGTATTCATTACCTATTTACACAACTCTCTGCCAAAGTCGATGCATCCCAAATCACGATTTTCTGAGATTTGTTGCAGCCCCCTTCGCTCGTTCATACCCAAACATCCGTCCGGATTCATATAGAACCTGAAATTGATATTTATTTCACTTGAAAATCTTTTCGGAAACGTTAAATACGTCACAATTGCAAATAGAGATTTGTGATTACAGCAAGGAATGGGATTTCACCTCGCAATTAACAAATAATGCATGTGTTGCAGTAGAAATGACGATTAAGATGGATGTATATGTCGTCTGCTACACGCACTAATTACCTTGTGTGGTCATCATGTGGTTTTATCACCGACATATTAGTCAATGTAAGGATTGAATAGGAAACAAACGTATGCTTATAACCACACACACCGTTAGATAATATTCAGTGTAGCCAGTTTTCTCCCAGAATGGATGTGGTTCACAGGCAATGGACAGCTTTGAATGCAAGACATTTCTCTTAATGGAACACATGTTCTCGCACCTATTATAAGTGTGCTTCTTATTATTATATGCATTACCATATACACCAGAACACATGCGTTCTGTGAGAGACCTGCCCAGGTATGAAGGTGTTCTTGACCTGCTCAGCCGTGTTGGTGTTCTAGACCTGCTCAGCCGTGTTGGTGATCTAGACCTGCCCAGGTATTATGGTGTTCTAGACCCGCTCAGCCGTGTTGGTGATCTAGACCTGCCCAGCTGTGTTGAGGCTCTTGGTGTGCTCCGCTGTGTTCATGTTCCAGACCTGCTCAGCCGTGTTGGTGTTCTAGACCTGTTGCGTTGTGCTGGTGTTCTAGACCTGCCCAGCTGTTTCGGTGTTCTTGGCCTGCTGAGCTGTGTTTATGTTCCAGACTTGCTCAGCTGTGTTGATGTTTTAGACCTGCTCAGTCGTGTTGGTGTTCTAGACCTGCTCAGCCGTGTTGGTGTTCTAGACCTGCTCAGCTGTGTTGATGTTTTAGACCTGATCAGCTGTGTTGATGTTTTAGACCTGCTCAGCTGTATTGGTGTTCTAGACCTGCTCAGCTGTGTTGGTGTTCTGGACCTGCTCTGCCGTGTTGGTGTTCTAGACCTGCTCAGCTGTATTGGTGTTCTAGACCTGTTGCGTTGTGCTGGTGTTCCAGACCTGCCCAGCTGTTTCGGTGTTCTTGGCCTGCTGAGCTGTGTTTATGTTCCAGACTTGCTCAGCTGTGTTGATGTTTTAGACCTGCTCAGTCGTGTTGGTGTTCTAGACCTGCTCAGCCGTGTTGGTGTTCTAGACCTGCTCAGCTGTGTTGATGTTTTAGACCTGTTGCGTTGTGCTGGTGTTCCAGACCTGCCCAGCTGTTTCGGTGTTCTTGGCCTGCTGAGCTGTGTTTATGTTCAAGACTTGCTCAGCTGTGTTGATGTTTTAGACCTGCTCAGTCGTGTTGGTGTTCTAGACCTGCTCTGCCGTGTTGGTGTTCTAGGCCTGCTCAGCTATGTTGGTGTTCTTGGCCTGCTCAGTTGTATTGGTGTTCTAGACCGGCTCAGCTGTGTTGGTGTTCTAGACCTGCTCAACAGTGCTGGTGTTCTAGACCTGGTTCGCTGAGTTGGTGTTCTAGACCTGCTCAGCTGTATTGGTGTTCCAGACCTGCTCAGCCGTGTTGGTGTTCTGGACCTGCTCAGCCGTGTTGGTGTTCTAGACCTGCTCAGCCGTGTTGGTGTTCTGGACCTTCTCAGCCGTATTGTTGTTCTGGGCCTGCTCAAATGTGCTGTTTTTCTAGACCTGGTTCGCTGTGTTGGTGTTCCAGACCTGCTCAGCCGTTGGTGTTCTATACCTGGTTCGCTGAGTTTGTGTTCTAGACCTAGTTCGGTGTGTTTGTGTTCTAGACCTGCTAAGCTGTATTGGTGTTCCAGACCTGCTCAGCAATGTTGGTGTTCTAGACCTGCTCAGTTGTGTTGGTGTTTCAGACCGGCTCAGCCGTGTTGGTGTCCAAGGCTTGCTCAGCTGTGCTGGTTTTCTAGACCTGGTTCGGTGTGTTGGTGTTCTAGATCTGCTCAGTCGTGTTGGTGTTCTAGACCTGCTAAGCCGTGTTGGTGTTCTTGACCTGCTAAGCCGTGTTGGTGTTCTTGACCTGCTCAGCCGTGTTGGTGTTCTAGACCTGCTCAGCCGTGTTGATGTGCTAGACCTGCCCAGCCGTGTTGGTATTCTAGACCTGCTCAGCTGTATTGGTGTTCTAGACCTGCCCAGCTGTGTTGGTGTTCTAGACCTGCTCAGTTGTGTTGGTGTTTCAGACCGGCTCAGCCGTGTTGGTGTCCAAGGCTTGCTCAGCTGTGCTGGTTTTCTAGACCTGATTCGGTGTGTTGGTGTTCTAGCCTGCTCAGCTGTGTTGGTGTTCTAGACCTGCTCAGTTGTGTTGGTGTTTCAGACCGGCTCAGCCGTGTTGGTGTCCAAGGCTTGCTCAGCTGTGCTGGTTTTCTAGACCTGGTTCGGTGTGTTGGTGTTCTAGATCTGCTCAGTCGTGTTGGTGTTCTAGACCTGCTAAGCCGTGTTGGTGTTCTAGACCTGCTCAGCCGTGTTGGTGTTCTAGACCTGCTCAGCCGTGTTGATGTGCTAGACCTGCCCATCCGTGTTGGTGTTCTAGACCTGCTCAGCTGTATTGGTGTTCTTGACCTGCTCAGCTGTGTTGGTGTTCTTGACCTGCTCAGCCGTGTTGGTATTTTAGACCTGCTCAGCTGTATTGGTGTTCTTGACCTGCTCAGCTGTGTTGGTGTTCTTGACCTGCTCAGCCGTGTTGGTATTTTAGACCTGCTCAGCTGTATTGGTGTTCTAGACCTGCTCAGCTGTATTGGTGTTCTAGACCTGCCCAGCTGTGTTGGTGTTCTTGACATGCCCAGCTGTGTTGGTGTTCCAGGCCTGCCCAGCTGTATTGGTGTTCTAGACCTGCTCAGCCGTGTTGGTGTTCTAGACCTGCTCAGCTATGTTGGTGTTCTAGACCTGCTCAGCCGTGTTGGTGTTCTAGACCTACCCAGCTATGTTTGTGTTCTAGACCTGCTCAGCTACGTTGGTGTTCTAGACCTGCTCAGCTGTGTTGGTGTTCTAGACCTGGTTCGCTGTGCTGGTGTTCTAAACCTGGTTCGCTGTACTGGTGTTCTAGACGTACCAAGCTGTATTGGTGTTCTAGACCTGGTTCGCTGTGTTGGTGTTCTAAACCTGGTTCGCTGTGTTGGTGTTCTAGACCTGGTTCGCTGTGTTGGTGTTCTAGACATGGTTCGCAGTGTTGGCTTTCTAGACATGGTTCGCCGTGTTGGTGTTCAAGACCTGATTTGCTGTGTTGGTGCTCTAGACCTTCTCAGTCGTATTTTTGTTCTAGACCGGCTCAGCTGAATTGGTGTTCCAGACCTGCTCAGCCGTGTTGGTGTTCTAGACCTGCTTAGCTGTGCTGATGTTCTAGACCTGGTTCGCTGTACTGGTGTTCTAGATTTGCCGAGCTGTGCTGGTGTTCTAGACCTGGTTCGGTGTGTTGGGGTTCTAGACCTGGTTTGCTGTGTTGGTGTTCTAGACCTTGTTCGCAGTGTTGGTGTTCTAAACCTGGTTCGCTGTAGTGGTGTTCTAGATCTGCCGAGCTGTGCTGGTGTTCTAGACCTGGTTCAGTGTGTTGGTGGTCTAGACCTTATTCGCTGTGCTGGTGTTCTAGACCTGGTTCGCTGTGCTGGTGTTCTAGACCTGGTTCGTTGTGTTGGTGTTCTGGACCTGATTCGCTGTACTGGTGTTCATACCTGGTTCGTTGTGTTGGTGTTCTAGACCTGGTTCGTTGTGTTGGTGTTCTGGACCTGGTTCGTTGTGTTGGTGTTCTGGACCTGATTCGCTGTACTGGTGTTCATACCTGGTTCGCTGTGTTGGTGTTCTAGACCTGGTTCGCTGTGTTGGTGTTCTAGACCTGGTTCGCTGTGTTGGTGTTCTAGACCTGGTTCGTTGTGTTGGTGTTCTAGACCTGGTTCGTTGTGTTGGTGTTCTAGACCTGGTTCGTTGTGTTGGTGTTCTGGACCTGGTTCGCTGTACTGGTGTTCTAGACCTGGTTCGTTGTGTTGGTGTTCTAGACCTGGTTCGTTGTGTTGGTGTTCTAGACCTGGTTCGCTGTGCTGGTGTTCTAGACCTGGTTCGCTGTGCTGGTGTTCTAGACCTGGTTCGCTGTGCTGGTGTTCTAGACCTGGTTCGTTGTGTTGGTGTTCTAGACCTGGTTCGTTGTGTTGGTGTTCTAGACCTGGTTCGTTGTGTTGGTGTTCTAGACCTGGTTCGTTGTGTTGGTGTTCTGGACCTGGTTCGTTGTGTTGGTGTTCTAGACCTGGTTCGCTGTGCTGGTGTTCTAGACCTGGTTCGTTGTGTTTGTGTTCTAGACCTGGTTCGCTGTGCTGGTGTTCTGGACCTGGTTCGTTGTGTTGGTGTTCTGGACCTGGTTCGTTGTGTTGGTGTTCTAGACCTGGTTCGCTGTGCTGGTGTTCTGGACCTGGTTCGTTGTGTTGGTGTTCTAGACCTGGTTCGTTGTGTTGGTGTTCTAGACCTGGTTCGCTGTGCTGGTGTTCTAGACCTGGTTCGTTGTGTTGGTGTTCTAGACCTGGTTCGTTGTGTTGGTGTTCTGGACCTGGTTCGCTGTGCTGGTGTTCTAGACCTGGTTCGCTGTGCTGGTGGTCTAGACCTGGTTCGCTGTGTTGGTGTTCTAGACCTGGTTCGCTGTGCTGGTGTTCTAGACCTGGTTCGTTGTGTTGGTGTTCTAGACCTGGTTCGCTGTGCTGGTGTTCTAGACCTGGTTCGCTGTACTGGTGTTCTAGACCTGGTTCGCTGTACTGGTGTTCTAGACCTGGTTCGTTGTGTTGGTGTTCTAGACCTGGTTCGCTGTGCTGGTGTTCTAGACCTGGTTCGCTGTACTGGTGTTCTAGACCTGGTTCGTTGTGTTGGTGTTCTAGACCTGGTTCGCTGTACTGGTGTTCTAGACCTGGTTCGCTGTACTGGTGTTCTAGACCTGGTTCGCTGTGCTGGTGTTCTAGACCTGGTTCGCTGTACTGGTGTTCTAGACCTGGTTCGCTGTACTGGTGTTCTAGACCTGGTTCGTTGTGTTGGTGTTCTGGACCTGATTCGCTGTACTGGTGTTCATACCTGGTTCGTTGTGTTGGTGTTCTAGACCTGGTTCGTTGTGTTGGTGTTCTAGACCTGGTTCGTTGTGTTGGTGTTCTGGACCTGGTTCGTTGTGTTGGTGTTCTAGACCTGGTTCGCTGTACTGGTGTTCTAGACCTGGTTCGTTGTGTTGGTGTTCTAGACCTGGTTCGCTGTGCTGGTGTTCTAGACCTGGTTCGTTGTGTTGGTGTTCTGGACCTGATTCGCTGTACTGGTGTTCATACCTGGTTCGTTGTGTTGGTGTTCTAGACCTGGTTCGTTGTGTTGGTGTTCTAGACCTGGTTCGTTGTGTTGGTGTTCTAGACCTGATTCGCTGTACTGGTGTTCATACCTGGTTCGTTGTGTTGGTGTTCTAGACCTGGTTCGTTGTGTTGGTGTTCTAGACCTGGTTCGTTGTGTTGGTGTTCTAGACCTGGTTCGCTGTGCTGGTGTTCTAGACCTGGTTCGCTGTACTGGTGTTCTAGACCTGGTTCGTTGTGTTGGTGTTCTAGATTTGTTTGAATTTTAGGTTTATTCATGTTAATGATCGTGGGTTCGAATCTCAGGTTCGCCTGAGTAAGATTCTTGGTTGGTCAACACTATGTCAGTGCCTGGAGGCTTCACCAGAGGTGTAACAGTGGGAGACCTGCATTACACACCGCGACATGACAGAAATTCTGATCTAAACTCAACTCACTCAGTGACGGTGCAGAAAGTTATCTATATTTTATTTCTAGCATATACATCTAATGCTGTCAGATTACACGTGAATTACGTGTCAGAAGGATTTAGTATTTACGCTTTGGTGGTTAAAATAAGAAATGTATGTATCTAAAGTAGGGATGTACCGATTGAGGATCCGGGGTAAAATAAACAGTTTTTGTCTACAGCAAACCCTGCTTGCCGTAAAAGGCGACTATGCTTGTCGTAAGAGGCATCCAACGGGATCGGGTTGTCAGGCTCGCTGACTTGGTTGATGCATGTCATCGTATCACATTTGCGAGGATCGGTGCTCATGGTGTCAATCACTGGATTGACTGGTACAAACGATTGATTAAATTGCATTGCTACTGTCAATGGTCCGACAAGAAGTAACTTTAGTAGCTAACGTTCATGCATATAACAACAATACGTCATAAAATGAAACAAATACTGTTGGCCATATACTGCGTCCTGGTTTCTGTGTAGCAAATTTTGTTGATAAACTAGATATGTTTCAACTGCATCCGCCAATCTCATTAAAATCAGATCTAAGCTCTTGCTGCCGCTAAACAAAGATCTTTGTTGAGCGATAGCGAGAACTAAGATCTGATTTTAATGAGATTGCTACATCTGCATAATAGTTATGTTTGTTTTCATTGAAACTCTAAACCTTTATAAACATATATCAACAATGTATCTTTGGGGGCGGTCCCTTAACACCGTCACAAGCTTTTGTGTGTTTTGTTTGTTGTTTAACACCACACTCAGCAATATTCCAGCTATATGACGGCGGTCTGTAAATAATTGAGTCTGGTCCAGACAATCCAGTAATTGACACTGAGCACTGGTCTACGCAAATGATATACGATGGCATGCATCAACCAAGTCAGCGAGCCTGACCACCCGATCCCGTTAGTCGCCTTGTACGGCAAGCATGGGTTGCTGAAGACCTATTCTCACCCGGATTCCCACGGGTCCGTTCACAAGTCCGCACAAAGCGATCATAGCGCTAAGATGATCGTAACTCCCATACTTTAACATAGGCTTACAATAGTTGTAGCGCTAAGAACGCTTTGTGCAAGTGGGCCCAGGACTTGGCTGACCTATGCTGTTTTGTCACGCTGTCCAATTTGGACATCAATGTAGTGGGAAGATGCGCGTGCTTCCCAAACTATCGAATATGGCATCAGATCGTCCAGTAGTGCAGTAGAATCGCAATAGTGTGTCCAGCTAACCCAGAACTACTAACAATCGTGAAAATGACGCCGATAGTCGGACCTCATCTGGTTACACTGTTCTAAAGTTTAGCTGTATATTATACATCCCCGCTCTTCGGCCTCCCGCCTATCATGACGTGACAGAGATGGTTGCGGCTTGTGGGCGTGTTATACTGCCTCAATTATGCATACTCACGGCATGGACGGAGTAGCATTATCGGAGAGTCGGGTACCCCACCACCACCCCACCATCACAGACCGTTATCTCGGTGGCGATCTGTTTCATACCAACACTGAGAGGGGAGAGAAAGGAAGTGTTTCCATGCCTCACTATCCACACATGCAGGGTAAAGCACTAACATGCCTAATCGTAACTATGGACACTGACAAACTACACATTTAAAGGGAGTCTAAGTTCGGCCTAATTGGCAGTCCCAGCTGCCAATATAATCCTCTCAAGTCACTTAAAACACTACTTTGTTTGCCTGATAGATCAATTTCTATTATGTCTGTATGTGGGTTTTTTTAAATTGTAGTTTCATGTGTATATGTGAGTTTGGTATAATGTTTATATCATGGTGAAAAAATAAGGTCTCCCGCGATTCTGAAATGGCGGCCTTTACATTCTAACTGTTATATAATGTACATGTGAATGTGAACGGTTACACTGAAATATACAAATCCTGTATCACCTCATGGCAAAGCCCCCCCATCCCCCCCCCCCCCCCCCCCCCCAACCCTAACCACCCCCACCCACCCAACCCTAACCACCCCTTCATCCCACCCCCACCCCCGACCACCACCACCACCCAAAAAAAAGAAGAAGAAAAATAAGAAGAAGAAAAAGAACAAACAAAAAACACACACACTTCAGACCGTTGCTATACCTGAAATCCTCATTAAGTTGGGAAAGGTGAACTAATTCATTTGGGCCTAATCAACATTGTTAAACATATATGGATTTTTTTCGAGTGAAACAGTTCTGCGACAAGCCCACCATATTTCCCGAGTACTGTAGACGAGTGATCAGGCCGCACAACCACGCTACACTCAAATCTATTATTCACAACTACTCCTGTTCTCCTGACGTCGGCTTCGTGCACGACCCACAAGGGACGACGCTACCTGAGGAGACATGCGTCAATGGAAGGATACACAACCATAAGCTTTCACTGACACGCTTCACCTGTCAATAAATAATCGATGGATGTGTTAGTTTATGTCAAGTATACGCTCGCGTGACAGACGACATTATATTTACATGATTTAGAACAGGCACACCGAAAGTGACGTCAATCTGTTTGCTGGCAACTGTGTTCTTATACGGACTGCATGTACGTCGTTGAAAATATTTACTTTTCCAAATCACTATATTCTTATACTGTCGTTTCCAATAAGACAGTCAATTCTTGATCTAATTACCAAAGGCCCGTTCCACAAAATGATCAGCGCTAAGGCGATCGTACCGATTGAGGATCCGGGGAAAATAGGTCTTCAGCAAACCATGCTTGCCGTAAAAGGCGACTGTGCTTGTCGTAATAGGCGACTAACGGGATCGGGTGGTCAGGCATGAAGCATGTCATCGTATCGCAATTGCGTGGATCGATGCTCATGATGTCAATCACTGGATTGCCTGGTCCAGACTCGATTATTTACAGACCGCCGTCACATAGCTGGAATATTGCTGAGTGCGACGTTAAACAACAAACAACAACAACATGTTTATACCTCCCCTGTGTTGACAACAGACCCTACAGCACCGCACCCATTTAGTGCATGAGTTATGACGCACGTATCTCTACAGTGGCTATGTGTCACAGGCCCCATGAAAGCAATTAAGACCTATTGCTGGGTGCGGCGTTAAACAACAAACAAACAAACAAATATAATAATACCAGCAGCTGCAACGGGGGAGTGTCGGACCAGTGGGAGATGAATGTGTTGCAAAACAAGGCATGTGGCTTCTTTCTTGGAGTGAAGAAGAACAAAATATCGCAACAAGAGGAGAAATGGACTGGCTGTCAGTTCTTACGGAACAGAGACCGGACATGCCTAATTACTGGAGCAGACTACAAGATCTCCACCAGCAGCCACGCACTTCCGTTATACACAGGTAATCGAAGAGGCATGCAAAGTCTAGGAACAGAAGAGAGGACAAGCGTAAAACTAAGCTGGACCACCTTCTAAACACCATTCAGTCTGTATCACCCCATAATACAACTATGATTGCAGTGCAGAAACTGCCTAGACATACAGAAAGAAGAAAACTCGGGGAAAACCGTACACACAAAATAGAAACAAACTCCGCTCATATGGGATGTTTCTACAATGTTTCACTGTTATGTTGTCTAATATGTAAAAGAAAATTATCAAATAATATATTTTTAAATAGTTTAATGTATAATTGTGTCTTTAAGACCATTTATGGCCGGGTATTACATACTTGATTAATTAACAAGATGTAATCTTATAACAAGATGTATGTAATATATGACACTGTAATAAAACTGTGTCTTCTTCTCATAATAATTCTGTTGTTGCCAACTGCATAGAGGTAGTCAGTTCTTGTGGTCACCACCAAAGGTGTAAATGTAGACGAAACTCGTTCGGAAATACAAACAGAGAACATGAGACTTGGTCTTGTCAATATACTTTTAATTACAATCTAGAAACAGTTTGTCGTTCACACTAAGTAGGGGATCCTAGGCATCTGTCTTCTAGATTAATTTGCAAAGAAAAGGCACTAAGGGTCTTTACATCAGTTATCGAACCCACGAGTGACGGGCTCACAATTACTGGAGGAAGTGTTAACAACACAATTTGATCAATGCTACCCTTTCGAAAATATGTCTAATTACACAATAACTGTCACCATGGGAACAAAACACATCATTTATAACACCAGATAAATAACATCATTACTGGCTGGTACTTGCGTCAATTTGTATTTCTATAAAGGAACACCATGAAGCTATCGTTCTCAGGTTAAATCAATCCTGGTTCATATAGCCGTGTGTAAAAGAATAATGAGAGCCTTCATTGTGTGGGGTGTCCTATTTAACCATAGATCATAATCTTCCGAGGCCATTCCCAGCCTGACAGATCTATATTATATCAGCAATACACAGTGAATGGTCGTATCGATCGAGTTCATCCCCACAGGCTAAATAAACAAACGTCTTCAGTTCGAACGACTGCTGTTCGATTAATTGGACATCAGTGCTTTACAAATGGCGCGTCATGAGTACTTCCGGATGACTTCGCAAACACAGTTGTTCACGCAGGAACTGATCGATAAAACGAAACCACCATCACTGCGAATAACGAAACTAATTTTCAAGAATAATAGAAACATGATTATTTTAACAATAACAGCATCAAATGACTGATTTACCAGGGTGAATACTTAAATTGGATTACCATTTATTTGAACCACGTAAAACAGGACTCTCTATAGGCTCCGACCATTGATAATCCAAGCGAGTTAACTTCAGGCGCTTCAATTTCAGGGAAACTGATTTAGAAATTTCTACCACCGCTTGTCTACCACCGCTTGTCCCTACCACCTCAAATCTGATTATGTATAGCAGTCAAGTACTAAATCTTTACCTAGGTTACACAGAGACAGGTTTCACTGGTAGGGCAAACATCTACACTATCTAAATGATAGTAAAGAATACCAGACAATGGAGCTAGTTTTATGGGAATTAGTCGGAGAAACCTATATACATGTGTAATAAATAAAAGTTTCATTATTTCATTTAGAAATAACCACAACATATAGTACACCGGGTCTACATTAGCGTACTATTCAATGTGGCAAGACCACGGTAAAATCAATGCAAAGCGCTCTTGGATAATTGTCCATTATCTCTCCAGTTATAGATCTGAAGGCAGTAATCGGCCCACTGTAGCCACGGATGCTACAAATAGCAAGCTGGGTCTGTGATATCCTGCCACGCAACAATGTCCACAGCTCTGGATTTAATACAAAGCAATAGCAGTACTTTGTTACAGAATACAATAACATTTCGCATGAGTTGTGTACAGAGTCAGAGTTTATCGATAATCTTGCGTAATAATAGCTCCTTATTATGAATACTCAATATTGTTAGGGTTGTTATTATTCGCCGTTTTAAACACGACTGCCTTGATGTTGATCGAATTCCGATATCATGAAAGAGAGTTTTGATCGACTGATATTTTAACTTTGGTTCTTATTGAAATCAAAAGGAGTGAAAAGTTACTATCGATTTATGTTAAGCAGGCTATGGTACCTAAATATTTACATGAACTGAACGCTGAATAAACACTGTTGAAACCCTTACATAAGGAAATGTGGCAGTATTTCCAAAGCTATTTCAGAGATGATACTCGCTCAAACCTGTCACGAGACTGGCATGTGACAACACGGGCTTCTAGTATGGAACTGTTCGACAGATGCCCTCATATAGCTTTCTATCGCTGTTTCCACATGTGTATAATCGCTATAATATTAATAAAAATAAAAATAATAATAATAATAATAATAATAATAATAATAATAATAGTAATAATAATAATAATAATAATATTAAGGAATGTCGTGACCCTTTGACCTATTTTTGTATTGTTTCACCTTACGGATATTCTAAATTTTAGTAAGTTCTATATATTTTATTTCGACCGACCTTGTCTTTGAAAACAAAACCCTTTAAGCAAGTAATTTAAGAAAAGAACAGATGGATGAGAAGTTGCCCTGAAACGTTGTGTATGTATTATAAAGAAATAACTATCTAGAATAATCCATGACATGAAGAAAAGCGATCTTAACTGTAACGACCTTTCAACTCTACATCACATTTTGCAGTAGAAGCCACGATCCTTTTGACATTCTGGTGGCCTCTACGTGGGAGGGCATCACATAACTCACGACAGCCAGGGTGTTGTCACACCTATCAGGGCATAATCAGTGATTGGCCACACAAGAGGCATCTCTCCCGCTACACACACGTGCGCAGATGTTCCTAGCGGGGGATATATCCATGTGAACTGTGATCTATCCCATCGTATACAGTACATGACTCTTTTACTTGCCAATTTCAACTCCAATTGAACATTTTCTTTTCTCGTTTGTCTTGTTTCATGTACTTCCTAACTTCAGGGGTCAAGGTCATGGACAGTTTGAGGTCGGTGGAAGATGGCGGGGGAAGACTATCGCAGACACCGTGCCTTTGAATAGAAGGTATACACGATGTGTGTTCCGTTCTACACGCCGTGATGAACAGCAGTCGATCCGTGAACTCCACAACATCACCAGGGTACTTCATGATGCCCTCTGACAATTCCCGGACTCCTGACATGATCTCGTAGTCGCTGAGTTGATCCATCTGCGGTGGAAACCTCTCTCTGATCATGGCGAACCATTTCTTCTTTGGCATGATGATTGGCAGACATTCTAGCTCCCATTCCACGTCGAGATTACACGACTGCAGGGTCTTGATAATAGTCATGTAGGGGGTCTCGTTGTCTTGAAGTCTGTCCAAAGCGTCCTTGAAGTAAGGGAGAGTACTCAAGCTCCCTGCACGATGGGTGATCAAAATCTTTCCTCCTGGCGCCAGACACTTCAATATATTTTCATACACGTGGTGAGGGATTGTGAAATAACGCACAACGTCTGCTAAAATCACTTTTGTAAACAGAGTCTTTGGACCCTTAATATTTTGTTCAGCGAGGCTCCGGAAATATTCCTCCGCGCCTACGTGAGCGATGCGTATAGGGACTAATTTATGACTTTCCGTCTCGGCGTAATGGAAGGTACCCGGAAGCACGGTTGTTACAGGTTCAAGAATGACGAACTTCTCCTGCAGAAGGAGGGCCATATTTCCCTTGTTATCCCCGACATAGCAAAGCTTGTCTGTTGTGTCCAGTTCGAGGTATTTGTGTATGAGTTTGTACATCTTTTCCTCGTAGTCCTCACCGAAGCTGAATTCATCATATTCTTCCATAGCGGGGATTTTGAAGCGGTTCTGATAACTCTCTGAAATTACCGCCAGAGGGCGTGGACTCTCAGGGCCCAAATGTGCAGAAGCCATGTTAGAGAAGCCGGGATCAGTCTGTCTTTTAGATACGCTGTTTCCAGGACGAATCACATTTCATTATTGAGCAGACACAAATCAAAGGCTAGTACTTTTATGGTATGAATGAACCATATTTGGAAGTTCGTGACACCTGAGAAAAACCGTGTACACCGAGATCAAATGGCTCCGAATGAAATCACATTAACTGTCCAGTGTCAACTTGTCTCTACTGTTTCAGCCCTGCTGAACTCGCTAGGGAACTGTCGTCTGCCGGCGTGTCGTCTGCTGGATTACTGGCCTCCTACCTTCCTGGTCCCGACTACGGATACTCCTGTCAACAGATAAAAATCGATACCTGTAATCACCACTTTGATCTCACCTGCACAAACGTGCTCAGGTGCACAATGTGAGCCGGGAGCTCCCGTATTGAATGTACATATGAAGATTAAACAATACCTGACTCACCTAGCACTACCACAAGCTGGGATTAACCATGCCGCCGCGGTCAATATACACCAGTACCTTAATATTGCCAAGTAACTGGTTTACAGGTCTACTGAAATAAGTACTAACATTATTCGACATTAAATCTTAATAATGTTATCAGCGACCGCGAGATCTGAGTTCACTAGTCTGTTGTGGTTCAGTCACCTTTGTTTTTGTCTCTACTTAAAGAATGTCGGATCCTTCGTATTTATGTGGTCGCAGAGTAGGCTAGTGGCTAAAGTGCTCGCTTGTAACGTTGAAAGCCCGGGTTCGATTCCCCACATGGTACAATGTATGAATTCCATGATCATGGTCATTTTGCCTGAGAATTGCCGAAAGCGGCGTAAAACTCTACTCAGTCACTCGTGTTCATTCAATGGCCTGTCAATGATATACAGAGATTCAATGGATTTCTTTCGGCGACGCATATTATTCATAAAGGTTATAGAAAACTAGATGAGATATTGAATAATATATGGCGGTGCGTGGTCTCCGATAACATTGGTAGAGTCTTTTCAACCGCGCGTAATTGTTGTGATACAAATAATTCATATCGCAATTAGCGCCATCTTAAAAATGGTACTATTAACGTCGCGCGAGTTGATACTGCTTTACGCCGGTGTCTACAAGCTTACAATATCACTGCATCCAGAATATAATCGAACCTTGATCAGACAAGCCAGTGAGTGACAACATGAGCATCAAGCCAATTCGCCGGGGCATGATGGCATCGTATGACTACCTGATCCTCAATAGTCGACTTCCCGGACAAACGCTGAGAGCAGGGGGCATATCCTGGTCCGTTCCCTCCGGGAGACAAACATCACAGAGATCTCTATGGTGACGTATAGGCTTTGCACCACGAATCATAGTAAATCATTTTAATACGTGGATGTGTCATACATACCAAGCGGTGACTTGCGTAGATCCAGCCACGGGATTCAATCACAAGTACCATTCGTGACCAACTCGTGTTATTCCGGGACAAGCCGAACAGCGACTCGTGCCCCTCTCGTGGACATTTGCGACTGGGTTCCGTCTAAGCGCAGCGGGCATAGCTAAACGATTTATTTCAAATCGTTGCGTAATGATTCACGCATATTTCCCCCATATATTGTACATATTCCAGATGCTGTTGAAAACACATCGGAACTTACACTATTATACAGTATGATTGAACACATTTAAAGACATAGTAAGATTATGTTGAGAAATATATCGATATCGCGTTCGAGATTTGCCACACAGTGCATATTGCAAAAGGGGCGTGTCCAGAACAGGGCCGGGGGTCAAAGCTTTGCCTGCGTTCCCACAACAGACCATGTTAATATATACTATTCTACTTAAAGGAAGTTAAAAACACCCGATTCTTTCATATTACAACAGTTAATATGTCGTGGCATGACCGATTAGCAACATGAAAGAATCGGATGTTCTTAAACTTCTTTTGACTAGTATAGTAACACCCTATGTATACACAATGGCTAATCATATACGTCAAACAAGTATCAACAAAGAAAATATGCTTCTAGCCCATTCGATGATATATCTATGAAAGGTATACTTATAAGGTGGGATGTTGTTACGGAGCTCGCTATTGTTAGGGATATATTAAAGCAGAGATTACAAGAGCGTTGAGCTTATCGCGCGTCATAAATAGGATTATTTACACATGCCTAACTACGTGAGAGTTGCCAAGTAGGCAGTTTCTGGCTTAATGCCCTATTGGGAGCGTACGTAACATGTATGACCTTTGTCTGACACGTCGTGACCTAAGTATCGGTTACGTTGGTCCCGAGGCCTCGGAGATGGCGTTCTGGGGAGATAGGGGTGCATTCTGTACACGATCGGCCATTCCCGTTGAAACTTTCGTAGCCAAATCTTTGCCGTTTCGGACAGGGGCGCAGTTGGCCGATATATGGTTGCATAACGCTTACGTTCGAATTTCACTCGGGTGGAGTCTTATCTGCTTGGGATGCTCATTGTTGGGGAAGCAGGCGATTAAAGTGAGTGAGGAAGCAATATTCGAACCTGGGAATATAACCCAGACCTTCGGCATGACCAATAAACGGTTTAACCAGAGGATACTAAAAGGGCGACTGGGTTTTGTATGGTGTACATGGATCTTCGTAGTCCTGCACCATGATTGTGGAATATATTTAGGTAGGTGGGTAGGTAGGTGGGTGGGTAGGTGGGTGGGTGTGTGGGTAGGTATGTAGGTAGGTAGGTAGGTAGGTGGGTGGGTTTTGGGTGGGTGGGTGGATAGGTAGGTAGGTGGGTATTTTTTGGGGTTTAGGTAGGTAGGTAGGTAGGCATTTAAAGACTCGTCCATAACTTGATGTTGACTCATACTGACCGGTCTGTGTTTGTAGTAGCAAGGCACACACACATCGTTTCCCGGTTACGTCACAGCTATGATCTAACATCACTCTAGACTATAGCACTATGCTATTTGTTTTCTATGTCGACATACCACAGCCAGGCCCAGGTTCAGTGTTTCTCTGTACATGCATGAGCGGGTGGATTTTTTTTTTTCGTACGATATGCTTGACTGATCACGTCACGGTTCACTCGGTCGTCATTAGAGCGGAGCAGGGAAAATAACCCCACTATGATAAGAACCGATAACGAGGGTAACACATCTACTGCTTAAAATGGTCAATAAATAATCGACTCTGGACCAGACAATCCAGTGATTGACATCATGAGCCTCGATACACAATTGGGATACGATGACATGCATCAATTTTTAACCAGGTCAACGAGCCTGACCACCCGATCCCTCTTACGACAAGCATGACTTCGCCTTTACGGCAAGCATGGGTTGCCGAAGACCTATTCTACCCCGGATCTTCACGGGTCACAGTGAATTGCCGGCGCCTTAGACGGCCGGCCGGCCACCCATGTCCACCGAGTGAGTGAGTGAGTTAACAGTACTCCAGTTATATCACGACGTGTCAGCTTAATGTGTGAGGAAAGCCCGGAGTGATGCAGGTCTCAGACGTTTACCACTTCGGTGAAACCCACGAGCACGGGTATGGTGCTGACAAACCTAGAAACATAATCGGGGCGAACCGGGATTCGAACCAACAATCATAGGTTTCTGGCGTGCCCAAGGGACGCAACTCTGCACAGCGAATCGCGGCGCCTTAGACGACTGGGCCACCCGTGCCCCCGTGTCCCCCCGTAAATTGGACGATAAAGATAAAGTTGAGCAGCGGTAACCAGTAATGCACGGTACATACACGTACAATGTGTGTTCGTGTTTTAAAGCGTTAAATCTGCAGAGAACTAGCATAAGACAATTCGTTTGGGGAAAAAACGCTCAAAGACGTAACACTCAACGCTGGGTACATACATGTGTAATATGTGTTCATATCTTAAGGCAAATACTATACATATATGTGTATACAGACACTCTTAGGTTTCTTGTTGAATAAAACATCCGAGATATATCAATGACCGATCGATAGTTTACTTACCAGCAAAGGAGTGATCCCCTTAGCTTGACATCGATTTGGTGCTTACAGTTAAAGAGTGAAGGAATGTGACCACCCGATCACATGTGTACACCAGAGAGCGAAGACAGACACTCTGGCCCGGTCGTGATATCAGCGTTAAGTAAGCTAATGAGTAACGAATAGTCTCCTCACCTGTCAGTTACCTCCCTAAAACACATGTCAGTTATTTTCTCATGATGTTTGAAACACACATGTGGCGTTCACATACCTGACAGGTAAGTCCAATCAGCGTTACCAGGTTTCGGTGTAGGACAGTCGTTACTGAGAAGGTTGGTGTGCGTTTTGTCTCAGTGGCTTTACAGAACGCAGACAACAACAAACAAGCCGATCTTGTGTCGCTCTCACGAGGTCTCACGAGCAGCCAGGCCGGTTGGGCGGTAACTAAGGACGCGAGGGCATGAATATTCATATCGGGAGGGGGGTTGTGAGTTTCACAAAAGTATCTCCTTCTAAACCATTGACGTCCATAGCCTAATCCCGATTTATTGTTAAACACAGTACAGAACGTCTCGAATGAATATTTTATTGTCGGCAAGTAGTTACGGTGGATTTCACTCTCGCCCATTCAATTTATCAAAGGACTATTTCTGTGTGCACCGCATGCATAGGTAAGCGGCTTTCTTCACGGGACACTACCCATTATGTAGGTTGTGTGCGTTAATAAATCAGTGCGATATGTATCTTCTAAAGTCACTTTGATCTCTAACCAGCCCCGCTATGTCATGTGCTTACTTTTGTTTGTTTGTTTGTTTGTTTGTTTGTTTGTTGTTGTTTAACGCCGCACTCAGCAGAATTCCAGCTACATGACGGCGGTCTGTAAATAATCAAAGTCTGGACCAGACAATCCAGTGATTGACATCATGATCATCGATCCACGCAACTGGGGTACGATGACATACATCAACCAAGTCAGTGAGCCTGACCAACCGATCCCGTTAGTCGCCTCTTGCGATAAGCACAGTCTGAAGGCCTATTCTACCCCGGATATGTGCTTACTGCCGGCAAGGGTACTGAAACAACAAACAGTTTCCCGTATACTGTTATCATTAACACATTTTCTCTTTAATTTTACCCAAAGGAAAATGGTTAATGTTGTCAATCATGAATGATGACGTATCGGTGTTAAACATAACACTTTATATAGCGCCTTCGTTGTGTCTCTATACAAATCATATTTCGAATGCAACAACACAATACACAAAGTGCACAGCTCGAAGACAACACCATACATTCAGTGAAAAGTTCGAATACAACATTAAGAGCGGTCCGATGTCATCAATAACTGTAATGTCATTAAATATTGTCCAGTACTCGTCTATAGTGGCCTGACGCCACAAGAGAAATCTGCTGTCATTAAAGATTGTCATGTGCTCGTCTATAGTGGCCTGACGCCACAAGAGAAATCTGCTGTCATTAAAGATTGTCATTTGCTCGTCTATAGTGGCCTGACGCTACAAGAGAAATCGGCTGTCATTAACAATTGTCATATGCTCGTCTATAGTGGCCTGACGCTACAAGAGAAATCTGCTGTTATTAAAGATTGTCATGTGCTCGTCTATAGTGGCCTGACGCTACAAGAGAAATCTGCTGTCATTAAAGATTGTCATGTGCTCGTCTATCGTGGCCTGACGCTACAAGAGAAATCTGCTGTCATTAACAATTGTCATATGCTCGTCTTTAGTGGCCCTGACGCCACAAGAGAAATCGGCTGTCATTAAAGATTGTCATGTGCTCGTCTATAGTGGCCTGCCGCTACAAGAGAAATCTGCTGTTATTAAAGATTGTCATTTGCTCGTCTATAGTGGCCCTGACGCCACAAGAGAAATCTGCTGTCATTAAAGATTGTCATTTGCTCGTCTATAGTGGCCTGCCGCTACAAGAGAAATCTGCTGTTATTAAAGATTGTCATGTGCTCGTCTATAGTGGCCTGACGCTACAAGAGAAATCTGCTGTCATTAAAGATTGTCATGTGCTCGTCTATAGTAGCCTGACGCCACAAGAGAAATCGGCTGTCATTAAAGATTGTCATGTGCTCGTCTATAGTGGCCTGACGCTACAAGAGAAATCTGCTGTCATTAACAATTGTCATATGCTCGTCTATAGTGGTCTGACGCTACAAGAGAAATCTGCTGTCATTAACAATTGTCATATGCTCGTCTTTAGTGGCCCTGACGCCACAAGAGAAATCTGCTGTCATTAAAGATTGTCATTTGCTCGTCTATAGTGGCCTGACGCTACAAGAGAAATCTGCTGTTATTAAAGATTGTCATTTGCTCGTCTATAGTGGCCCTGACGCCACAAGAGAAATCTGCTGTCATTAAAGATTGTCATGTGCTCGTCTATAGTGGCCTGACGCTACAAGAGAAATCTGCTGTCATTAACAATTGTCATATGCTCGTCTTTAGTGGCCCTGACGCCTCAAGAGAAATCTGCTGTCATTAAAGATTGTCATTTGCTCGTCTATAGTGGCCTGACGCTACAAGAGAAATCTGCTGTTATTAAAGATTGTCATTTGCTCGTCTATAGTGGCCCTGACGCCACAAGAGAAATCGGCTGTCATTAAAGATTGTCATTTGCTCGTCTATAGTGGCCTGACGCTACAAGAGAAATCTGCTGTCATTAACAATTGTCATATGCTCGTCTTTAGTGGCCCTGACGCCACAAGAGAAATCTGCTGTCATTAAAGATTGTCATTTGCTCGTCTATAGTGGCCTGGCGCTACAAGAGAAATCGGCTGTCATTAACGATTGTCATGTGCTCGACTATAGTGGCCTGAGGCTACAATCGCAGCCCTCTGTCATTAAAGATTGTCATGTGCTTGTCTATAGTGACCTGACGCTACAAGAGAAATCTGCTGTCATTAAAGATTGTCATGTGCTCGCCTATAGTGGCCTGCCGCTACAATCGCAGCCCTCTGTCATTAAAGATTGTCATGTGCTTGTCTATAGTGACCTGACGCTACAAGAGAAATCTGATGTCATTAACGATTGTCATGTGCTCGACTATAGTGGCCTGACGCTACAATCGCAGCCCTCTGTCATTAAAGATTGTCATGTGCTCGCCTATAGTGGCCTGCCGCTACAAGAGAAATCAGCTGTCATTAAAGATTGTCATGTGCTCGTCTATAGTGGCCTGACGCTACAAGAGAAATCGGCTGTCATTAAAGATTGTCATGTGCTCGTCTATAGTAGCCTGACGCTACAAGAGAAATCTGCTGTCATTAAAGATTGTCATGTGCTCGTCTATAGTAGCCTGACGCTACAAGAGAAATCGGCTGTCATTAACGATTGTCATGTGCTCGTCTATAGTGGTCTGACGCTACAATCGCAGCCCTCTGTCATTAAAGATTGTCATTTGCTCGTCTATAGTGACCTGACGCTACCAGAGAAATCTGCTGTCATTAAAGATTGTCATGTGGTCGCCTATAGTGACCTGACGCTACAAGATAGTTTCAGCTCTCAAACTTAACAAACATAATACAGCTTGTGTCTAATATGGCATTTGTAATATATCACATGACAAAGTCTCTTTTAGTCTGTGTGTTAAGAAACTTGATTCACAGCATGTATAGTTGCATAGGTCAAACTTGGCTCAACCAAGTTGATTCTTCTCCCCCAGATACTGCTCCTTAGCATCTTCTGAAACCTGGACTGGTCTTAATTCAATATTCAACAAAACAATGTGTCGAAATTAAAAAGTTGTTCCTCGTGAGTTTCTGTCTGAGCCTAATGCCACCTTCACCCACGTGTTTACTGATGCTTCAAAGGATTCGGCCAGACTGCTGAATCGTTGTCGTTGTCGGCACAGGTACTACAGAATGCAGATTACCCCAGGTACGTTTCTGTATACAGAAATGTACCCTTGCCAAAATCAAAATACAGAAACGTACTCTATGAGGAGTCCATACCGCCGCAGGGCCGCAGGGTGCAATGCGCGTAACCGGTTCTGTAGGTATTCGTCACTTCCTGTATGCCAAACCGCGTTTAAATTCAACAAGGCAGTACGTGTTCGACAGGGGGAACTTTTAGATTATCTTATGAAGTTGAATGTCTTTGATGAGGCATACTGCCACGCAAGGGTAGGGAGCTGTTGGCAAGAGATCGTGTAGATGTAGCACGCACGCACGCACTCGTAAGCAGGCGAACCGGAACTACAACATGAACCGGTTTCGGTTTCGGGTTGAGGAATATGGACTCGTCCGCCGTTTAGGGTACCAGGTACGTTTTCTAATTTTGACTAGGGTACATTTCTGACCCAGTAACCTGTACTGACTCAATGCGGCTGTTAAAGTAATTGAATATGGTACCAACGGATGAAAAAAACGACATTGTGAACGAAATATTGAAGCATGGCACAAATCTGAACTGAAAGTATATTACATGTGATATAGTGTGCATTCCAGCTTATGTTGAACGACATGCATGGAAATTGCAGATTAACTTGCAAAATCTGAATTGCAAAGGCAACCTTTCCTGTCGAAGTGAATAACATCTCCCACTGAGAAAGTAAGTAAAAAAAGCCATCAAGGGGCTACCAAGGCAGAGGTTCACAGCCAGTCATCTCTGCTGGAGCCATGCGTCACCATGCGTCACCATGCGTCACCATGCTCTACATAAAGACAACGCTCCCCACTGGAGCAACAGATGGAAACAAGCCACACACCTGTGAACAAGTACTGTACCCGAGTCTCACTTCCTGAATCTCAAACTCCGGCATTCGTCGTAAGAGTGTGAACGAGCACGTCTGACAAGTCCTGCACGAGAAGGTCTGTTAAAACTTTGAACATTTAAACTATGGAGTGCGATCCGAGCAGAATGACGACCATGGAAGTAAGTTTCGGTCTGAACATCTTGGACCTGTTCTATGACTATGACGAAGAAGATCAGAGACATAGGAAATTGGGTGTGGTCATGATGAACCAGAGTACCGCCATTTACACTGCTGTGCCAGTGCCAGTGTCATACGGGGCTAGGTCAGACAAAGGCAAGACGGACGTTGTTTATCCCGTAACTCGACAGTGTCGGAAACGAAGTTCCCTAGTTCTGTGTTCAGATAAACCGGCAGCAATGTCCAGTCGCAAGAGCAAAGATGACAGTTGTATTTTGAACGACCAGACGAGACAAGTACGTCGCCGGTCGTCTGTACTTGCGGCGTCTGGCTGGACTAAAGTATCGGGGACCGACGAGAAGGATCTGTGTGTGCTCTCCTCGGCATTCCAGCGGGGAGTCGACACAAAGTGAATCTTCCCAATAATGACATACTCTACCTGTATGATGATTAAATTGTGTGGATGTTATTTTGCAATAGTTGATGATATAAAACAATGCTACGTTTCTTCTGGTATTCTGTTTATTCTTGAA